CATTTTTTTTTCTTTTTGGATAAAATATGACAAAACTAATTCAATTTGATGAACAGATGAAAAAGCCCCCCCCCCCGAAAAAAATCAACGCCTGCGGCTCAGGGCATGTATTTTGCAAGCGCGTTGGACGGAAATAAGAGAAAACAAAAGAAATCATTGGCTGGGAAATTAAGGAGTGACGAATTCTGAGCTTGCAGTTTCCACTTATTTTGAGAAAGCAGTTCCTTTTTATTTGGATTTCCTTGTCCACTTTTACCATTTCTTTCAATAAAATATGACTGAAATTAATCTCAATTAATGAATCGATGAGATAAAAACAATGAAAAATCAACACCAAAGAGCGAATAGCATGTACTTTGCAAGAAAGGTGAAAGAAAACAGTAAAGGCGCCCTCTATAAACACTATGAAGTAAAGGGCAACTGAGCACACGACGCGTCGCGTCGTGCGTCGTGTCGTGCGTCGCGTCGTGCTTCAGGCGACGCGATGCACGACACAATGCACGACGCGACGGGCGACGGAAGGGGCGACGTTTAGGCGGCAAAAAATGCAACATGGAAAATACCTAAAGTAACACGACGCGACGGGCGACGGCACGACGCGACGCACGACGCGACGCGTCGTGTGTACAAACGTAATGGCAAGAAGGCGACAGTGCAACCCGACGGCACGACGCAAGGGAGCCGTCGTGCCGTCGCGTCGTCTGGTCGCGTCGCCTGGAGGGAGGCTGAAGAGAGAGAGAAATGTTTGTCGTAAATAGTACACCATAGGCGACGTTTAGGCAGAAAAAATTGCAACAAGGAAAGGACGGGCGACAGCACGACACGACGCACGACGCGACGCGTCGTGTGCGTACAAAAGTAATGGCAAGAAGGCGACGGTGCGACCCGACCCAAGGGAGCCGTCGTACCATCGCGTCGTGTAGTTGCATCGCCTGGAGGGGGCTAAAGAGAGAGAGAAATGTGTGTCGTAAATAGTACACCATACTATGGCAACGGCAATGAAACTAGCTGTGTTTTATGCACTGTTCTCGTCTGATGTATCATTTTTAATACAATAGTTTTTAAAATTCTTCAGCCGATTTTTGTAATAGTAGTACACATATTGTGAGGTCAGTGAGACGTGAAGCAATTTCCACATCAATAGCAGCTCCGGCAGTGTTGAGGTTATCGATCAATGATCAAACAAGGCAGATCCAGTATATTTTTGTTATTTTCGGGGTGGGAACAAATTTTTGGAATTTCTGTTCGTAAAATTTGAAAGCCTCCCCAGAGGGTTGAGGCCGATTTTATTTTACGTGCTTTAGGAAGAAAGGGAAATGGAGAAGTCCTAAAAACTAAAAAAAAAATCGACATGGAGGCAGTGAGAGATTTTACAAGTTACAACACAACGGCCAAGTTTAAAAATAAGTCACAGCACAGTTTCACGAAAATAAATCAAATGACTCAAAACTTCTCTTTGGGATCAGTCGCTCCGTTCTGATGTCCCTAGGCGTGGCTCCCCTCATTATGCATGGTTAATTTCAGTTCTCATATCATTACAATTCTACAGAAAAACACACCAGTATCCAAGTTCCCACGATGAAAATGCGTGATGCTACCAATTCGCCTTCCCTTGTACCGACTGGAAGTGAAGTCTAGTACTTGCAGTGCTGCTGTTTGACCTTACACACTCAATGTAGTGTGGGCGGTACACGTATTTTTATAGCACCACAGATCATGTTTTAGCCCAGCTGCGAAGGCAGTTTTGTATAGGTAGCATACATGTACATATGTACATATATGTACTGTTTTTTCCGCGTTGGAAGGCAGCAGAACGGCAAGCAAGCGAGGTGAGAAATGTTATTTCCCTCGGATTCTATCATGTTGCAGGGAAGTAAGTTATAGTATACTATAGCCATGGTTATAGGGTTGATTCAAATTATGGGGGTAAGAAAACCAACTGTTCACTTTTGTACGCTTGCTTATTTTCTGATTCCCATGCTTTTACCATTCGTAACTTGTAAGTATCACTAACCATTGTTAGCATACCCCTAGAACTGTGGGGTCCGACCTCCGCCCTGCTCCCGTAGCGGGGCGGGGCGAACGTTGCACCCCACAGTTGTTTTGGTAGCTCTATGAGATTTTATAACACTTAGTGAAGTTTTCATTTATCTTTGCACTGACAGCAGGCTTTAGTTTATCAGCTACTGGTAGGCATAACTTTGACTGAAAAAGAGATTATCTTATTGTAGGCCTACCCTGTTGGCTTTTTTTTTCAGCCTTGCCTCTTTGTCTGTTCTGCTTGTGTATTTGTCTTTCAGTTAGGACTGGACTGCAGGGTGCAAAAAAGCCTTCCTAAACTTCCTTTGGGGTATAGTTTTGATGTCAGATTTACCCATTATTTCAGTGTGTGACAGAGAGCACATTGTTCCTGAGTGGAGATGGAAGAGACAAAGAGTCCGGATGGTCCCCCGCCTCATGACACCAGCCAGCAAGGGCAGCAGGGTCCGCAGCAACAAGGTATGTAAAGACACTGAGATTTCATCTCTTGCTCATCATACACGGAGAGCCCGTGCCAGCAAAATGAAATGGCCATGGTCACATGACCGCACTGAAAGTCTGACTCGGTCATGACAAAACTGAAAGTCTTCCTTGATGTTGAAAGGCCTGTTAATGGTGACTCCATTTTGGCTGTGTTCGGTGAGGCATCCATTGGGCAAAGGATGAGGGGGAAATGCTGCCTGGGGAATGTTGGCAGTTCAGGGTTTTTTGTGTAGAAATTGAAAGCACCAGCATTTAGCAATGGCACTGCATGGCTTACCCTCTTTGTTGGATGGAGATTCTTTTACCGATGAAAAAAACTGGACAGTCCTTTTTGGAAGGGAAAAAAAATTCCATTTTGCCCCTTCCATGAACCCATTACCTGGATGTGCCACTGACCACATAGAAAATGGAACATGTACATGTAGTCACAAAAGGAACATTGTCACTGTGTAAAAACATTCCATGTCATGCTCAGATACAATGCTCATGATCATTCATTTATCACTGATCCATTTTGACCATACCCTGACTGTTCACCCCATGACCTGCAGCGCCCAATCCGGAGCAGGTACCGCCACCCTATTCCCAACAGGGACCATACCCCCAGCCAGCCCCTGTCCCCGCCCCTGCCCCAGTCATCACTGGCCAGCCCCTGCCACAGCAACAGCAGCCTGGCGCACAGTGGCATCAGCAGCAGCCCACGGCGGTTGTGGTCAACGTGCCGGTCAGATTCACCGCCTTTCCGATGACCATGCAGTGCCCCAATTGTGGCAATAGCATCACCACTGAGACCAAGAAGCAAAACGGTATTGCGACGTGGCTGACCGTCGGAGCCATGTGCCTTTTTTTGTAAGTGTGGTGGTGGGCACAATCCATCACTCAGTCTGATCGATCCATCGATTGTGCCGTGTTCACAGTAAATCCTGTGGGAAATCTTAGAATTTTACTTTTTTTTCAAACCAAACTTCTACGACCTTGAACTAGAAATAAAAAAGTTATTTGCTGACGTTAGAAATGTTAATAGATAATGAAAAAAGTGGATCATTTGACTGACTTGGCAGATCAGCCGATCACATCTAGTAGGTGCGTCCCACTGCCTCCCCACCCCCCACATTCATAGGTATCCTCAGCTAGTTCCCCACACTGTGTGTTACTTTACCTGTGCATAGGATTTAGGCTCACTACTTCTCATTCTCTCCATTTTTCCATCATATGTAGATTTTGCATAACTCACACAATGAAATGTGATCTGAGTGAAGTTATGCCGTCGCCGTTCTTTTCTTTTTTTTTTAAATCAGCTTTTGTTTGTTGGAATCGTTGGGGGAGAGAATTCTAGGGCCGATGGGGGAGGGCAAAGTTGGCAAAATGGAAGTTATGTTTGGGGGGTGATCCCTCGGGTAAATGCCCCTGCCGAAAGGTCATCTCACAAGTTCTGAACCTGTATGATGATTTTACCTTAAAAACACACAGAGTGTGAAAATTAGGTTCAAAAAACACACAAATTTAGCTGACTTCTGTTCTTTTTTGGCTCGTTTGTAATTGTACAGTTTTGGATGTTTACTCTGCCCGCTTGGCTTGATCGGTTTCTGCATTCCTGCTCTGAAGGACACCATTCACACCTGCCCAGTCTGCAAGTTTACCCTGGGAAGTCACAAACACCTGTAGACTTCCAGACTGAACCACAAGAAACACCAGACATCGGTATTCGTCTGGACGATAAATGCTATGTCAAAATTGCGCTGTATGAGTTGTGTTGAGACCACTACGGTGCGCTGTGGTGTCAGTGGGTACAGTTTTGGACTCGTCTCACAGGGTTAAATGATTCCATGTTGGATAAGCATCCCCACAGTGTCATTAGGCAGCATTGTTCAGCCTTTATTCACAAAATTGAGAGAGTTGCTTTATAGATCAGTTCAAAATAGGGTAGATGGGGTGAAATTTAGACATGGTATGTACGGAAGCTAGTACCACTCAAATGTTGCCATAGATTTGGAGTCTGTCTCTTGTACTGCCCTGAACTGCCCTGTCAAACTCTCATCTTGGTGCCCAAAAGCTTTCCCTTACAATCGGGCCATGGGAATGCTATCTATCCACTGCTAGTTCAACCGTATAAGTTTCCCCATCCCCATGCCGATTTTAGAATTGTCTTGTTTTTATCATCAGTTGCATGTACATGTGTTTTGAAATAGTCGTTTCCTCAGATTTCGGTACCTCACCATGCAGTACAATTCCTTGTACTTCTGAACATTCTCTATCCAGTTTTATGAAAATAATTTACATCTGGTTTCTACTTTCCATCAAGGAATTTTTGCATGAGAGGTTTTCAGTGGGGTGTTAAAGATTTATTTGGACAAGACAGAGTAAATGCAGTACCACTAAATCCTAAAGTATTGCATAGTTGTTCTAAAATGAATTTTCCTAACTATTGCAGACAGTATTTGAAGTAAGGCATAAGAGTTTGCTGTGTCTCTGCCAGCAGGGCATTCAGGCCCTTTTTTTAAGACAGCTTGTAGCAGTTTGCTGAATATGCCCTTCTGCCCGGCAGCAGACGATCCTGTTCTTCCATGAACAAAAGCCATGGATGTGACTTCGTTAAACCTAAGCTGCAGTAAGAGTTCCAACAAATTGCTGGACTGTAGCCAAGTGTGGATAGAGAACCAAATATTGGGTGGGAGGGGTCAAGCAAAACCTGGGAATTTCTTTAAACTTTAGCCTCTCTGTGGGTGAAGCTTGATTTGAGAAGGAAAATTAAATACTCTCAGTGCCTTTCTTTTAATGTACTTCAAGAACAAAACAATTTGCCCCCTGTTAGGGCCAAATTTGTCCCCTTTCAGGGCCCACGTACCCTGTTGCACCACTCCCTCCATTCTTCTGTGACTGCTGCACTGTAGTTCAGGATCCCCCAGGTGTTGTGTTTGGATTGTTTCTATAATTGCATTTTGGGAACGTGACTAATCCCTGTTCTGTTGCTCCCATCAAAATACCTGAGCAGTTCAGTGTGTAACAGAGAGCCTTTGCTACCTGGTGAGATTCTTCGCTTTTTAATGTGTCTTTTGGCAGAAATGTTTTATTGGACAACTTAATATTTTAATACTTTTTGAATTGGATAACAGGCAATGTATTTTATGCACGCGGTGTTGCATTGAAGATTCTGAAAAAAGTTAACCCCCCCCAAAATTCAAGCTTACCTGCCCCCCCCCCAAAAAAAAGGAAAATTGGGAAATCCCATCCATGAACATCAGTTTGTGTCATGGACTAAAGTCATGAATGTCAGTGAACTAGTACTGTCCAATCAGAATCAAGCTCATTCATTCCACACCGACCAATCACGTTCATTTGTTAACCTACAGCAACTACTTCCCTTTTCACAATGCATCTATCTGTGACTGGATGAACCAAGAATGTTTGGTTCTCCTCCTTCATGTCTTAACACATAAAACACATGGCTTGTGTGCCTTCCAGTCTCTTCGCGCAGTGAGAATGTTGGAAAGTTTATTTCGTGTTCATCTCAATTTTCAGACTTTTTGAATGTCTTGTATGTCAGCATAAATGTTCACGTGTATATTCATTCAGCTTGACATTTATTTGTGAGGGTCCGAAGTCATTAATTTTGTTTAACAAATTAATAATTCTACTTTTTAGAACATTTCATAAAAGGAACTGCATCTCTGTATTTTTTCATACCGTGTTGCAATAGTCTGAAATTTATTTCTTAATCTGGACTTGGTTAAATATTCACTTTATAACCTTTTTAAGCTTTTTAATTTACTGTTGACGTTTGTTTTCTACATCTTGTAGTAAGTCGATAAAGTTTCCAAAAATATTTATTACTTTGCTATAGGTTTGTTTGTGTACTTTATAGTTTAATAGTTGATAAAAGTTGACCAAAGGGTTAAAAAAATCATTTCTATTGCTTTGATGAAGATTATACTTCAGACCCTGCACCCGGCTGTGCATGCATGAGGCCAGTTATTGTATTCGGCAAGACATATCCTCAAATGTAGTGAGGGTCCTATATCAATGTTCCGTAGGCCATAGGTACCGGATTAGTGCTCTGTGGGCTATGCTCTGCTCCAGGTTCCATCACAGACCTGAACAGAGGGCTTGAGTGTTTGTTCTGGTGAAAATAGATGGCATCATGACGTAGTTTAAATTTGCGGGATATCGTGTAATTGCCAGTTTGTAAGGTTTTGTGGTTCATATAGAAAAAGTCATGTTTTTAACGTTGTGTTCTTCCCTTGGAAACTAAAAATACATTACCGTTATTCCAGATTGACTTGTTACGAGATTTGGGAGGTTAGAATCTGGATACATCCCGGTAGCACTAGACAATATTTTTATTCTCATTAGGAAACTTTGTTGACTTTTAACAAAGCACAAAACCTGTACCTACCAGGGAACATTTTCTAAACTTAGACTTCTTGGCTTTAACAGCTGGATTACTTTCGACCCTTGTTTGTTTCCAGAAAGTTCTTATTAGTTACAGTATTTTCCTTCAAGAATGAGTTGTACAGTGTAGTAATATTTTAAGACTAACTTGAGGTCAATATGCAATTTTATTCGCTTTTATTTTGTTTCAAAATCAACCTTAAACTAGAGTTAGTACCAGCCAACATAAGAATTTATCGTGCTATAGTCTTACGCAATATATCGCATATGGGTTGATGTAGACCTGTAGATAAACATCAAAGTGCAGCCTAACTTTATTTGTGTGGTGGAGTTGATGTTATCCGCCCCGAGTTGAAGTGCACCCCCAAGCCGAAAGACAGATGGTTGTAAGTGGGTTCTTGCACACACGCGTTCTGCGTATGCAAAGACCATACATCAGAGGCGGCAGCAAGTCATTTTTGGCGAGTCCAATTCAAGTCACAAGTCACTTGGTCTAAACACAAGTCCAAAGTCTCTTTGTCCAAATACAAGAAAAGCTGCACATTATTTTGTCCAGCTGTAATAAGTAAAAAGAACCAGCCGTCAACTCACGAAGTTACGAGTTATGAATTCGGACAGCTGAACACCTTTTCTCCAATTATTTTGACAATGCTTCCATAGTTCCTCTAAAAATATGTGGGGCTGGTCGAGTATCATCTGACTTGGGTTGGTAGGTCATTTTTGGAAGTCCAAGTCAAGTCACAAGTCATTTTTTGCAAGTCCGAGACAAGTCACAAGTCAAAGCTGGTATTTACAAGTCAAGTCACAAAAATAGCGACTCGAGTCCGACTCAGTCCAAGTCACATGATTCAAGTCAGCAACTCGGCCATCCGTTAAGGACAAAATTCGTTACGCGTACTCGGCGTGCTCTGCGTCAAACGCGCCACTGATCTTCATTATAAACGCGCGCTTATGCGGTGAGTACTAAAAACATGCCCTCTCTCATTGCGCTCGGAGCGGATAATGTCGAGGTGAAAATGGGCAATTTGTGCCTCTTTTGGTTTTCACGCCGATATATTTAAAACCAAGGGCTCATTTCCGTTCTTCGCCCAAAACTTTGTGACGAGGCATCGAAAACAAAATTCTGATTACTAACGGAACGAGAAGTTGCAATAAAAAATCACTGGCGTCGTTTATATTAGTTCGAGTGGAGACAGACCAACAAACTGTCGACGGACTAAACCTTGGAGATGTGTTCTCTCAAAATTCCGAATTTTCTTTTGTATCTTTCAGATACAAGATGTTACACAGTAGTGCTCATATAAACTCATGTCAAATCTACACATACTTGGCATTTGGAACTATTCTTTTGGACCGACAGGCAAAATAAAGCCTTCTTGCACATGGTTTTGAAACAAAAGAAAAATCAAAGAAGAAGCGTTTAAGCTTTACAAATAGCTACTGCGTTGTCAGTGCCTATAAACTACATCCCTTTCACTGAAATTTGCCGAAGGACAACATCAGTATAAAATAGTCGAACCTCCGCCCGGCCGTTCATTGACGGGATCAGAACTATTCCCCCCCCCCCCCTGAACGTATCGAACATCGTGTCCCGGTATGCTATCTCAGGCCGAGTTCGGGCGGCTTGTTCCCGTATGTTCATGAACAGCTCCATTTGTTGTTCGTGGGTCGGCCACTCGAACGCCGGGAACGAACAACCGGTTATCGATGGTAGTTAGTGACAAGCAACAAGCAATATGGTGGCGTCCATGTAGGCTACGTCATTCCAGAATTAATGTTTGGATGGGCTGAATTCTTTTCTATATAAACAGGAACATCCATTTCTGTGATACATAAAATAATTAATGCTAATTTTGCAAAACTTCCTATGGTCTATGGCTTTGGAAGCCATCTCTCTACTTTTGCAGCTGTTCAAAAATCAAAATTTTCCTGTAAAACCCTGAGGAGGAGGTGGTGTGTGATCCTATTCCGAGAACAGTGTTCTTGAGTCGTGTTCCGGCCGTTCGAGTGCGAGAACAAGAAACCCGTGTCAAGAACAGGCCGCCCGAACTCAACCCCAGTGTGTATCCCACACTCACTTTGCAGTGACCTCTGTTGATCCAAACACTGCCTGGTATAAAAATAAAGACATAAACAAATAATGATTAATCATTACAACGGTAATAGGCGCGAGGAGGAGCAGGTTGGCCAAAGTGCACCATGCGCGCCATTGGGCAATTCACCGATTGTGCATTAGGTATTTTTGCCATACCTCCATTGTAAGGCTCTGTTGGCTGTAGCAAACGGCAAATAACGCAGATTGCCGTCACACGGTCTTCGTTCAAGACGATTTATTTTGTAAGGTAAACTTACTGGTAAGTTGAATAACATTTTCCATATCGTGGTTATATTGGTTAATATCAAGAGAATTCTGTTGACCGTAAAGGAGCCAATCAGAGGCTTCTTAGTGCCACATGACCACACGGCCTTCCGGAAACAATACCTTTTTTTTAATTACACAACAGTTTGGGGCTACTTGATGCACTACATGGTTGAAATTGGTATGTTTGGCGAAGGATCTCAGGTTTTCATGATATGGTACCGGTATTTTATTCACTCGGAGAGATCTGGGGCCAATATCATAGAGCTGCTTAAGCGCAAAATTTGCCAAAGCGCAAAAAAACCTGCTTACAAGACAAAGGTTACCAGCTCAAAATCTATGTGATTGTCATGTTAACCAAAAGACCATTCCAAAACAATAAATATCCCATGGCGTTTTGGCTGGTAACTTGATTTGTCAAGCAAGGTTATTTCATACTTCAGCAAATTTTGTGCTTAAGCAGCTCTATAAAATTGGCCCCTGGTCGTTACTGAGACGGCTCCGAATGTTTCGATAGGCACGCACTTCAATATGCAGGTATTGTTATGTGGAAGTAATTAATTGTAGAAAGAATTGCCGGGAGCACAGTTTCACATAATCTGTGTGTTACATTTAGAGGTCTCAAGAAATACGTTGCTTATTTTGTAACAGGTTATTTTGGTCACAATGGAAGAGACCACAGACCCATCAGCACCACCGCCTGATTACGAGGCAAGTCAACAGCAGCAACAAGGTATGCATTTGTGTCCGTTTATAATCTGGTTTTTAATTTCGGGGTGTCCTTTTAAGGGCATTTTTCTGTTTTTTATTCAATGTAAATTTGTGATTTCAAGCTATTTATGGTGACAGACAACTAAGGTGGAAAGCTTGCCGTAGCACCATGCAAGGATAGGCTACGATCTCTTTGTGAGTCTGTATGGTTCTGAGTTCCTCACGGTTCTTTTCAGAATGAGTTCCTCACGGTTCTTTTCAGAAGAGTTCCTCACGGTTCTTTTCAGAACCATACCGACTCACAAAGAGATCGTATCCTTGCATGGTGCTACCGCAAGCTTTCCACCTTAATGTAAATTTGTAAAAGTGTGATGTAACCCCAACAAGACACCTCAGTGTTACAGGTATTTCTTTTCTAAAAATAAATTGCCAGACTTTGGTTTTTCATTTATTTTGGTTCAGTTCATGACCGGAGGGAAGCGAGCAAAATAGGTTTGCAATTTCAACAATGACCTCACAGCAATGGCGCCCTCATTTGTCTGGAAAACTTCTAGGAGCGCACAGGGTAACCACAGAGAGACGCAGCTTTCTTACATTTAAGACGAGTAGCAACTTGCACAAAACATGTCTCATTCCCACCATGGAAATCTTAAAATGCAACCCATATCACGCTTTCGTTTCGATTTGGCGGGTGACAGCGTCTTTTTGTACGTGCGTCATAACAGGAAAGTGATAATGTGTGGGTGCCGTCTGCTAAGGAAGCAGCAGGTATATCATGAATTTTTAGTTTGTAAAAAAACCTCTTACAACTTCACATTAAAATTTGTTGATGAAAAAGATGAATCCAATTGTATTCGTACTTCTACGGGGTGTATATGGCGGCATTTTTCAGACATCTGACTTGAATTTCTATATCATCAGTGCCACCTACAAGATTTGCAGACAGCCATGGTCTTCTCATCCGCAAAGAATCCTCACCTCTAAGAAAGGTCTTAAGGTGGTGGTACTGTTCCTGAACGTGACAGTAGCCGGCCCTATACCTTCACCTGACTAGGCCCTGACTGTATTCATCACTTTAAATGAGATGTGCCACACAGGTGGAGAGTGAATAGGGCAGTGGTTGTAAGGGACTTACATTGAGTATTTTGTTTTCAACCTATGGTCTGCTTAAAATATCCCAAAGCAGGGGTAGTGCAGGAACCTATGTCTGGCCCCGAGACTGAAATGCAGCCACCACCATACTTAGAGGAATGGAAGCAACAGCCCATCCCACAACCGGGACCTGTGTATGGGGCAGGATGGCCGCAGCAACCGATACCACAACCCGCACCAGGCCCGGCCGGGACAGGATGGCAGCAGCCGGCGCCGGTGATGCAACAGCCCCAGTCGGCGTTTGTCACACTGTCACCCGGGACCTTCACGGCCTTGCCGACCGCCATGCAGTGCCCCCATTGTGGCAACTCCATCACCACGAAGACGGAAAAGCAAGTCGGTTCGGGGGTCTGGGCTACAGCCGCTATTATGTGCTTTATTGGGTAAGTTGCTTTAAAGTTATGATATACCGGTACACAAAAACATGAATCGAATCTACAAAATGGTCAAAATATCTCACAATTATTTTAGACAATTTAATGCTAAATCACTTTGAAATTCCACGATCTCTTTAATCTGTTCCCCTTTTTTCTATACCCCCTATAAGTAACCACAATCATTTATTATTGACCATGCAATAATAATTTAAGACTATAAGACTTTATAATAATCTAATCTATTGTATTTGGGACATGGTGAAAAAATCTCTTGCTTGAGCTAAAACTCTTATGTACGACTTGTATAAACGTAAGTACAACTTATACCTCTTTCGTTCGAGTTATATCTCGTCCGTACGGGATACAAGTCGTATTTACGAGATATAAGATTTATAAGTCGTACGCACAAGTTAGCTTCCAGGAGAAGAGAATGTTGTTTTTTTGCATTGTGTCCTTGATACAGCTTTGTCGTTTTGTTGGTACATCTTGCTTTATGTGAATCATGGCAGCTGACAGCGACGACCGAATTATGACGCTGGCTTTCGCTCGCTTACGCCCAATTCGCGCTGTTATTGGATGCAGTTGCGTCGTCCATAGGGAAGAGGCGAGGAATGAATAGTACACCATATGTATACTAATAAACTTGCGTATTTGCGGAAGCGTATAAGGGCCACTTGCCAAAAAAAAAAACATTTTTCGAGATACTATCTCGCTGGGGCGATTTACTATCTCTCCGCGGCAAGTTATTATCTCGCCACGGTGAGTTAGCTAAAACTTTTTCAACTTGCTGCATATTAAAACTCAGTCCAATGACTCCGACTGCTGTTCTAATCAATGGTCCTGTATCACTCAACGTCCACATGACCAACACTCCTCCAGATTTCTGGGAATGAGTCGAAATATTCCGAACTTATCCTGTTTATATTACATTCAGTTTAACGTCAACACTTTTTCTTTAATGCTCCGCAAAACTGTAAAAATTCTTATAAAGATTAAAATGAATAAAATTGTCAGCCAAATGAGTAAAGGGAAAAGATAAAGACCATTCAGATGGTATCGGTAATGTTCGGGATTTTCCGGCCTCGTTTGTACCAAGAATTTTGTGAACTGTCCGAGTTATATCGGTTGGAATACTCCCCAAATTCCGAAGCAGAAGTAGGGTCGAAAAGATTGGAACATATTTTGATAAATGGAAAGCACTTTTTTAAATTGAATGTGTTTTAAAGCGAATGTCTTTTAAAAAAATCGTATCTTAGAAATTTGGAATAGATTTTTCAAATGCAGAACGAAAATTTAAGGATCTAATACATTTTTTTCTAGATTGGAATGACGTTTTGAAGAGTGGATGAATTTTCATTGACGCAGCTTATTTTCTTCTAGATTCCAAGGAATTTTAAAAGAACGTAAATTTTTACAAAGCCAAAATTTTTCAAGATTGGATCAAATTTTTTAAGCCCAAACTTTTTTCAGATCGAAATAAAATATTTTGCACAGAATAGACTGAGCGTATTTTGGAAATGGGAACAGTTTTTCAGCTTAAAGCAGCCATTCAATGCACGCATTTTACACAAAATCTCATGCGATCTTAAATGAGAAAGCATCCAAATTAACATAACTCCAAATTGATAAGCAACCACAAATAAAAGCAGCTTGTGAAAACTTAGTTTAAACAATCTTGGGAAAATTATACTTCACTTTTTAAAAAAATGTATTTGAAGCACTACGAGGCTTTCGCAGAATTCTGTCTAAAAGATCGAATACTTTGTATACGCGGCTTTGGATGCGTTCTCAATTCGGATGCTTTCTTAATTCGGATGATTTCTTAATTCGGATAAAGTGAGATTTCAGTAAATACATAAGCCGTTACGTTGTAAAAATGTCTAAATTTCGACCAAAATGTTTACCTTGTAAAGTTTTTATTCTATTTTTAAAGAATTTAGAAATTTAAAAATTAATTCAATTCTAGAGATTACGTTGAGTATATAAAATTCCTTCGCTCTTTAAAAATTCACTCGATTTGGAATCTAAAAAAAGAAATGAGATCCTTTTTGTTCGGCTTTTGAAAAATATATACTGAACATCTAAAATACGAGCTTTTTAGAAATTACATTCGCTTAGAATACATTAAATTAAAGAAATACAACCAATTGAACGAAAACATGTTCCAATTTTTTTTATCCTAATTGTACTTTTATCGGATGGCGTTCTCCGAACGTTATACCACGGACAGTTCACAAAATTCTTGGTGCAGACGCGGCCGGAAATGCCAGAATATTGACAATACCATCCGAATGGTCTTTTTCCTCTCCCCTTTCGTTTGGCTACTAAATTTAATCTTTGTAACAATTTTTACAGTTTTGAGGAACATTAAAGAAAAGGTGTTGACGTTAAACTTAATTTAATATGGACAGGATAAGTTCAGAATAGTTCGAATATTCCCAGAAATCTGGGGGAGTGTTGGTCGCGTGCACGTTGGGTGATATAAGACCATTGATAAGAAGAGTAGTCGGAATCATTGCATCTGGTATCCAGACTGAGCCTTAATATGCAGCGAGTTGAACTAGTACTCGCCGCAGCGAGATGGTAAGGCACCGCGGCGAGATGGTAAGTCGCTGCGGCGAGATAGTATCTAAAAAAAAATTTTTTTGCAAGTGGCCCTTATACGCTTCCGTACGTATTCCCTTCTGTCACCGCGCACTGCATGCACGGACGTGTATAATAAAATCTGGACTCGCAATGCCCTTAATCAGCTTATAGAGTCATTGAATCAACTCGCAGCCATTTTTCCGAGCCGAATACAAAGCTTTTCCGGCAATGCCCACCGTTGTTCTTCCTGGCGTCAATAGAAGGGAACCGCCCACGCTTTTGTATTCGGCTCGGTAAAATGGCCGCTGGTTGGCTTCTTTTTCATACAAAGGCGTTGCAAGTCCAGGTTTTTTTTATATACGTCCGTGACTGCATGCAGCATATTATACCCACAATGCATAACGATGCTTGCACTTCCTTCAAAAAGTTAAGCAAAGAGCAACTGCCACGCACCCGCCCTCTTGGAAAGAGCAGTAGGTGCAAGTGCATGCTGAGCTTTGGTGTCGGTCTGTGAGCTGTGACAGACTTGGCACAATACGTTTCTCTACACAGATGTAAAAATGATAGAAGATTTTCCTTGTAGATACTTTTGACCTTGAAATAGGACCCTAGATTTAACTTCATTCTGTGTCTCGTGCATTTCCAGATTCTTCTTCCTTGTGTGCTGCATCGGTCTGATCCCGTTTTGCATACCTTCGCTGATGGACACGGTTCACTCTTGTCCTGTCTGTAAAAAAGTGCTTGGAACACACAGATTGATGTGATTGGTTATGGAAGTGGCGAAATTTTGACCAACAGATTTTTAAAAAAATGAAAACATGTAGGCCTAATTGATAATAATAAGGAGCTGCTTAGAATTACTGAACCCATCAATGGTTGTTCAATGGCAATCATTATTTTTACACATACCAAAACCTTTTTCTAATCCTGAAAAGCAAACTAATAGTTCATTTTAAAGGAAGTAATCCCGTGTCACGTGAATTGCTGGCAGGATCAGAGTTTTTAGAACTGCCCTTTACTGTTCACATTCTAGTGCTGTGGTTCCACAACAAAAGTCGTACCAAAAAGTCAGTGTTCAGTTCCATGTAATAACCCATTCTGTTTCAAAGAAGTATGTAATAACGAATACCTGCTCCAAGAATCAAAGGGGCCCTCGTTTATTGAAATAACGTCGTCTCACGGCCCTTCACGTGAGTTCAATGGCCAGTACTCATGGGTCGCACCACGAAGTGACGTGTTACGAGTTTTGGTGCACCACAAAGTGACGTATACGAGTTTTGGTGCACTACAAAGTGACGTATACGAGTTTTGGTGCACCACGAAGTGACGTATACCGTCTAACGACTGTGTACACACGATACGACAGTAATTCGTCGTACAACCGACTATTTTGTTTTAGATTTGATTTCTTTCAAAGGGATAAAACATTATGAAATTCTGCAACAGGCCAAACGTTCACTGTATGTGCATTGTTTCGTCGAGTCGGAATGTAACGAATTTGATGGGAATACTTTTAAAAGTTTTATATGTGAATACCAAAGATTTATACCAAAATATATATGTGTAGACATTTACGTTTAACAATCGATATTTTATAAAATGTTTAATTAATTAGGCTATATGGTGGTGTTTTTCTTCCATAACTGATTGACACAGTAGGTGTAAAATATTATTATTGTAAAAAATTGTAAAATATTTCAAATTAGAAACTACAGGTATTGAAATGTAACTTGTTTTAATGTTCAATCTTTGAGGGATTTCAAACAATTTCCCCAATCTGAGGCGATTTTATAATTCAAAGAGCCAATCACAATAAATAAAGAAACTTAATGACAGTTCAGAATTCTTTCGAGAAATGTCTCAAATGCTGAGTGAATGAATGCCATCGTTGACATCAATCGCAAAAGAAACTAAACCAACAACTGATTACGGCCGTTTCACAATAATGCGCCACCAAGAGTTTGCAACGCGTTAGCCAATCACAATGCGCGAAGTTTGTCGACCCTATGCGCATTTGGAAAGGTCGATAACTTTCGCGCGTTATGATTGGCCAACGTGTTGCAAACTCTTGGTGGCACACTATTGGGAATCTCCCGTATTCATAAAAGTTGTCAAGTTTATTAAAATGCTTTTCACTTGCATTGATCCTGAAATACATCGGTTTGTGTGAAATTGAAATTGTTTTCAACTGTGTTAACAGTTATTTGTCATACCGTCGCAGCCAATACCCGTTTGAAGATTTACTTTTACGATTTTTTTCTGAACTTCTGAAGAGAGTAAGGAAACAAAGAAGGATTTTTGTCAAAATATTGGATACTTATATTTATTCAATGTTTTTGTATCACTTCTACAGAAATGAAAGCCAAACTTATTTTCGTCCCTGTTTGACTACAACCTTTATCATGTTTATTGTAGGTACGTGCCGCCTAATTTTGCGAAGCAAATACTAAAAAATTTAAAACCTCGGCGAAAACTAAGTTTCTTCTGAAATCATTTCCAAAAAGTAATGCAGTTGAGAAAATCAATAGGATGCCTAAATTAAATTAATGCCTTACGCCAACATCCACCATAATGGTTCACTGGAAACACCTGCGAACGTTTTTCACTCGTTAACTCTCAGTAAATATTGTGAGTGCCTGGCGTCGCGTGAAGAGAAAAGTAGTTCCACCCGTATGAAAGCGTTCATTTCGGATAAATGTCTGTGAATAGTTTCGAAGTTCATAATGAATTTTCCCTTCTCATTTTCTGGCGCAAGAAATCCAAGTAATTTGGGGCGGTGAGCACCATCCTTTGACATAAAGGATCATTTCGCATTTTCCGCTTCAAGGTGTAACTCCCCACGATGTTTTTCAGGGGCGTTTGGTAAGCAGTCATGGTGCGATACTCCGTGTCCGATAGCCACTCAATGTTGTCAAGGCACCGATTCACCAATTCGTAAGTCCTCTTCTGAATGGCTGCAATTTCGCGGGCCACGAGTCCCCGTCCAATCAGGTCAAGCTTTGTCCAGAGAGTTCGATTGAAGTGCTTGTACAGTTTCACGTCTCCCTCATTCCATCTCTCGATCAGCATGGGCAGGTCTGTCTCCCATGATGCCTGGTGAGGCTCGGGCTGACCTGTTGACGAAAGTCGCCGGTTCACCTCCAAAGCAACAACGTCGTCAGTTTGCCAACACATCGTGTGCTTCAGTGCTACCAGGGACTCGGTGAAGAAATCAGCAATCAGTACAAGATGGAAGGACTTATTCAGCACACTAATCCACTCATCGACAGTAGCTTTCCCAGCGGGTGACCTCTGATGCCGTCTAACGCTGTTGTAACCCAAGTCGTACATCTGAGGATTTCGTACGGCGTCCACACACTGCGGATTCTCCACTTTTCTCTGCAAGGCGTTGTTAAGGTAGCGATGCGGATCTTTGAGGAATTTGTGCAGTGATATCCCGTACACGCCCGGTGCCTGACAGTGGAAGTAATTGTAAAAACTTTCGTACTGCCTCTGCGGATGACGCAAAATGGTGATGTAGACGGCGTCTGTGGTCATAATTTGGCGAAAGGCTGCAGTTGAAATAAAGAAATATTTGAAAGAAGTCATATTTAACAAAAACCCCAGTATTCAGTGTTAGCATACACTTACCATTTCAAGGGTTTGAATCGAGTCCAGCTGCTTCAAGAGTGTCAGAGAACCCCAAAAAGTGAAATTTAACCATCCTAAGTATATCTTCTTGTTGGGGGAAAATACTTCCCTGAATGAAGAAAAAACTTTTGCGATCGGATGTTTCTATGCCTTATTTTGTCAGCTGATTATGCGTAATGTCGATAGTATGTTCAGTTATAAACCACTCGGGCATGTTTTATAAGCCCATTACATTTTGTCAAGGTCTTGTGTGCGCATCTTATCCATTGTGTCTCGATTCGCAGCCACTTCCCAGGAAATTCAGCCTTTGGCTATCTGGAGTCGTTTGCGTGGTCCATCACTGTCATGAACGTGCTTCAACTAGGGGGGCACACGCTTTACTCACACGCGTGTATAGAAAGTGGATAAGGCTTGTAGACGGTGACTTTCATAGGAACATGTGCTTTTGCTGGACATGGCTCTTTTACATACGATGATGTCCGATAAGAAATAACCAGCTTCAGTTGAATTCTTATACAGTAATATCTAAGGTTTAATGACTTATTCACACTACTAGTCTCTAATTTAAACAAGACTGACCTTTCGGTTCAAATCTTGCATGATTTGCAAGGATATTGTAAGTTCCAGAGGGGGATTTCGCCAACCCTTTTCGAGAGAGAGGGTACTGAATGTTCACTCCAGAAATCGGTAATGCGAACGTCAGGTTGTGTCTCTCGCCCCATCGACACACGATGTTCTGCAGGGTGGAGCTGCCCGTCTTGTGTGTTTTCAAATACAACACATTCATTTTCGGCAGACATCTTTGCTCTTCTGCTGGGTAGCCTTTTGTGCCCGTCCAATCGGTGAGGGTATCGGGCAGAGACGGTGCCTCTGATTGGATGTTTGGCATCGCTTGGAGCTTGACGTAAGTGTAATGGCGCTGTCTGATTGGACGAGGCCGTGAGGAAGTTACTTTCCTCTCAACTATTTCTGAATCGTGAAACCAGATTATGATGGGGTAGAGGAATATAAACAAGACAAATACGAAGGCAGCTGCCGATCCCTTGACGTTCGACGACATTCTGGAATTAAAGAATGGAGCAAGGTATACGTGACGTACAGTTTACATTATGTTGATAACTTTGCGTTGCAATGTGAGTGAGGAAAAAAAGCTGCCATTGCCCTGATCGTCGTGTTTTAAAAAGTTGTGGACTTAACAGTATAGGAACTTGTGTCATATATCCGAGTTCAAATGAATAAAAAGCTATAGATCATAGAATGTGTGCATAAAGCATTGATGAATTCACGTATAAATCGTAAAGCTCATCAAATTACATTTCTGGGATTGACGGATATAATGTAAAACGGAAAGAAATTTGAGAAACCTGTTTACTACAGAGTGACAATTTTATTTTGCTCCAGATTTTTAATATATGACTTAAGCTGCCATCTGTAAAGTGCACTTCGATAGAGAAAACTCGGTATATACTTTTATCACGAATTGGCTTGGTGCAAATGTCTATGTGATCATAGCAATTATCAAGAAACTATGTGAGACATGGTCCTCTTTTCAACCCAAGACCTAGATCGGTTCCCAGTCCCCCCTAAGACTGAATGTAGGGACCAGTAGCGAGCGAGGAATCCCACTGGTGGAGTTCCTCCTGGGTACGCAAATATGAATTGCTGCATTGCACGGGCCAGTGGCAAATTATTGTACAAATCGGGCATTTTCCATTTTTTTTCTCTTTACGAGGTAACCAAAGTGAACATATAAAACTATCTTTAAGAATAGAAATATGTTTTCAATAGGCACGCACATAAGGGCCAATCAGAACTGTTACACAAGAACTGGTCAGTCACGTCATTTGTCAAGGAGGGGAACCAGTCTAAGGTGAAACTTAGCCGCAGCCAAAGTCTGTAAAACGACGTTAGCGTGAGAAGCTATCAACAGGCAATGTGCATGATATGCACAAGGGTATAGACGACAAATGTTGGATGCAGGAATGTGTCAGGTTTTAAGCCCGGTCGCTTTGGTGCAAGAAAACTTATCCAGATAAAGATATTCAGCTGAAAAGAGTGAATTCAGCATGTCCTCTCCTGTCTAACCCAAATTTCATTACCACTGTAATTTTTTTCCAGAAACTTTTTGCAGTTCTTAACCGGCAGTGCGGGCGCCAGTAATATACTGTAAATGAACAGTATTTCTTGACTGTAAATCAGTGTCAGGGGGGGGCAGTAATTAACTATAAAAGCAACATTAATTAGTCTTGGTTAATTTACATTAACTAAGTTTAGACCTCCGCGGTGAATTACCAGCTTAGACTGATTGCGGATTCATTGTACATTATGTATTATCATCATCCATGCAGTATAAATTGGATAGATCATCCCCCCAGGCCAGGGCCTCTGTTAGCCCATGTTTTATTCCTCCATGGTTAGCTATACCACCCTGGGCCTAGCCGGCAGACCACTGATATCACTGGAGACCAAGTTATTGCAGTCACGTCTATTTGGGCGTGGCTAAGTCATTTCTGCACCCTGGCAGCTCCACTCCAGCAAGACACCGATTAAAATGTCGTTTGGAGGTATTTTAGTTAATGCACGGATGAGAATTTAATCTTAAGACCTACCTTCTTCACTAACATAGGCCACACGTCAAGGTACATCTGTAAAGCAACATCCAAGTCCCAGTAGAACACTATTGAACAAGCACATGCCAATAATCTATAACAGACACACTGAGCTGAAGGCTTTTGGGAAAAGTCATTTGATTTTGAAGGTACCATGTAATGCAGGTGAGCGGTGAGCCCTATCACCCCGTGTTTGGTTTTTGTCCTGCAGCTTTACCGTTGTGAAATGTGCAGGTTTTGATGTTAATGTTAAGTTGTCCAGTCAGCAAATCGTTCACCTTTCAGGCCAATTCTGCTCCATTGTGAAACGCCTGAAGCTAATGCCACAGAGGGGGCCATCTTTGGTGATGCATGATTCGAACTCGAAGAGAGTTTTGTCACTGACAAGAAAATATTCAAGTTTGTGTTTGCATGTTGCGAGAACAAACTTTGTACCCTGAATATCACATGGAATGTTTACTCTGGAGTCGGAACCTGCTCGGCATGCATTTGCACATTACACTGCGGTTTGTTGAGGGATTATATAGGGTCATTATGTCAACACCTCGAAGGTTGAAACGAATGTTGGCTCAGCCCCACTTACGTCACTGCAGAATAGGCCGCGTCCAAAAACGCTTGGCTGTGGCTGGAAATTTCCCGTGACTCTTTTGAAACTGGCTGCGACCCCAACGCTTTTGCGTCAATTTCAAGCCGTTGTCAGGTAATGCGGACACGGCTATAGCTGGCTGTGAGTCTGTAGTGAACAACGCCACCTTGTGCGGGCGGGTTGGGGGTGGCATTACATTGAAGGCCGCTTGCTCAACCAACCAAACGCACAGCCGTGATCAAGGCTACGGTTCCGCTAACGATCGAAAAACCAAACGACTTGAACGGCCAACTGGCTTTTTATTGTCCCCATACATTGTGTTGCAATTCTACAATGCCACAAAAACAACGGAACGTTGGAGACATGTACCATATTCCAATGCGATACGTTTAAATTTTAATCATTTCAACGGACCCATGCCATATACGTTTTTCATAATGTAAAGTATAGCATTCAAATTTGAAAAAATAACAACTTAACACGGATAAATAACGCTTATATACACCAAGAAAAAATGAACACCAGACTAACTCCGGCTTTGGAGCGAAACTTAAAGGATACACTCTCGCCTGGAAGGTGGAAGGATGAAGAGCCTACCACCATCCGCTGCTTCTGACCTGTTTCTTCATTTATTTAGTAACCTTCAAATTAAAAGTTGACAAAAAGCCCAGCTGAATCAGCCCAGTTAACTCAGCCGCTCACGGCTTTCTACCTTCCAAGTGTAGAAATACGTCATTTAAATTACTGGACCTGCAAATTTTTGAAAGAAGTGGTGTATTTTGTGGTAAGAGAGCCAAATGGGGCAAGGAAAAGCAACACACATCGGCAAAACTGTTTATATGTTTACCTGTATACGTTCTCTGCGTGTTCAGTATACCGAACACAGTCAACTTAAACTTACTCATTAGCCTAATTTTGTTCGTGTGTTGGACAAGGGAAAGAAACATATAGAAATGGACCACACAAAAGAATTGCATGTCTTCTCATAAAGATAAGTGAGGTTGAGAGTTTCTGGCAAATACGAAGCTTTGAGACTCGTTATACAAGTACACTGAGACATACGGAGAACATAAACCCGCTTATTATTAAGGAATAAAAGAAAGTGGAAAATATATTACACAATGGCCTAACCCTACATAAGATTTTCTTTATGATGATATGGAGATTTCAAAAGTGTGTAAAATAATATAGGACACTTTACCAAATACCATTCTCAATATAACAGTTTGGAGACTTCTAACAATTACACATTAACCGCCATCATGCATGGTCTACAGGTGTAGTCAGGGTACAAAACACCAGCACAATTTATGCGACTACGATGAATGGCTCCGCTACTAGCTTCTCAGGTGATACCAGCTTCTACAGAAAGCTTTTTCACTAATTTTATGCCCGTCTTTGCATCCAAATCTGCCTTGTGAAAAAAGCTAATTAGCAGTACATAATTCCTCCAAGAATCGGTTGGATCGGGCCGTGCACAGATCATATGAATGATTTGCCACGGCTACCTAATAACACGGCATGTAGATTTGCACCTCGACGGCTCGGCCAGCATCACCCAGTATTTCAAGGCGCAGGATATCAAGCGAGGAGGTCGTATGGTTCATACGAAGCAGAGGCGCGTCGTTCCCGCTTTTCCCAATGTGCATCTCGCTAGCGTTATTCACGACCGCCAACCAGAAGCGACCGAAGCCTCCCTCGGTCCCCACGCCCGCATCAGTCAGGGAGACATGGTCAAATGTGCCGAACTGAATCATTTGAACCCCGTCCGAGCTAAATACTGGAATCGAGCATAAAGACAGAAAAAATTGTGACCGATTTTATTCTGATAATGGTGGATCTGTGCTGGTTGGATACAGGCCTAGGTTTAATTTGTTACTGTAATTGACAATTTTTTCCACGCAATTCATAGGCGTACGACTAAATCTGCCATACTCATTACGGCGTAATAATACTTAAAGGGTATTTTTGAATGAGTATTTACTAGTAATGGATGAATTATGAAAAATGAACCTCCTTTTAAAAGAGCGGTATACGCCTTTCGTCATTCCGTGTGTCTTTTTGGTACATGGTACCATGTTCATTTCGCTTTGAAACAAATCGACGACTGTATTACTCCGGATTTCAATGGCAGCAATATTCAAAATGAAATGCATCGTATTCGAGAATAGTATACATGTACGTCTGCGCGAGGTCGGAACTGTATGGAATTTGCATAACATCAGGTCCTATGTTCTCGAATGACCTTGCCTAGCTTGTTGAAACACCGAACTGGTTCATTTTAATGAGACACGACTGTTCCATGATCATTTGATCTAATTTTATCATGTAGCCGCGGTCAGAGTTGTTATGATTCAAGTCAACGACTTGACTCGATTCCTACTCGAGTCACAATTTTTGGCGACTCGACTCCCAACGGGTAAATGAATCGATTCGACCCGAGTATACATGTACCTGCCAGCAAATGACTCGAGTCCCTCATCAGAAAACCCGACTTGAGTGAAAGTTATTAAGACTCGAGTCCGAAAATAAAGCAAACTACTTTTACGACAAAACATATTTGGAATGACTTACAATGGTGGTGAATAATACAATATTCATGTCATGTGTTACTTCCATATAGGGAAAGATGTGGTGTGACCACATACTGTACAAATCTAAACATGTCCCCAAACGACTTTCTCTTTTGTTTGAATTTGTCGTATTGTGCTACAGTATTTGTGACTCGATTTGACTCGAGCTTAATACCTGAATCGACTTGACTCGATATTTTTGCCTAATGAACTCGCCTCAAGTCACTACGTTAAACAATGACTCGACTCGAGTAATAAAACTTAGTGACTCGTTACAACTCTTGCCACAGTTGCCCCCCCCATGCGATCAGCTCAGACTTACCAATGTAGTACAACTTCTCAAGACTGTCCCCATAGACATAGATGCCAATGCTGGCAGGAGTTCTTACGCTGAACTCCAGTTGTTTCAATGAGGAGTTGAACAGACCTTGAGTAGGATATCGAAACGGCTCTTCCTCTTGGTATGATTCAGTTGTGAATGTGACGCATGCCTCAGTGACGCCGTCGACTGAAGTCACTGGGAAAGGAGACACGATCGAGTCGGTCGATACATGTGGTATGAAAACTGCGAAAGAAAGGAGTTTCTGCCATCCTGAAATTCCCCCTTAAGGCGCCTATCCATAATTTATGAACCTTTTTGGATCCGTTCCATATCTGTTTCCTGGATTCCCTCCTGTACCATCTCAGTGAACTTTCTGAAACTGACCTTACAGACGTAAGGCGCACTGAGTTTTGATGTATTCCAAAGTAAAGGCCCATTTCTCCTTTTTGGGGGGAGGGGGAATTGAACTACTGAAGCGAGATAGTATCAAGGAATAGCATACGGTTTCGTTGTTGGTGGTGTTGTTGTTTGTTGTCGTTTGTCTCTGTTGTTGTTGTCGTCGTTGTTTTGTTGTCGTTGTCGTCATGGTCGTTCCCTGCCCATTCGGGGGTTAAATTACAAAGTTCCGATTTCGCCTTTATGTATTAATCCTTTGGCGTTCCAATTGGTCATATCTTAAATTCTCCTTTCCGTTATATATTCTGCTACTGTACATGTACAACAACCACAACGTTGGCAATTAATGCTACTGACACGAGTTTAAATGCATCGCGCAATTGCTCGCCGTCCTCAACCGGTACTGCTTGCTTACCTTTCTGGTCGTCACCTCCCCAGCATCGTCCCTCTAGATTCGGCAGGACTGATTTCAACCACAGGCGCTTGTGGAATATCTCCCCTGGACCTGGCGGAGGAGGCACGAGGCCAAAGTACAGCGTACGCATCTTGCTCTCTGCGTGTGTCAGTTGCGCTAACAGGAAAGAAAATTGCTTCATTGTGACGATAGCTTGGGGCATTACCATTAAAACTCTAACTTTTGAGTGAGTGGAATCTATCGGTCCTCTCCAGAATTTTCAGAACAAAATAACTTGCGTCATATTTCGCCGGAATTAACTAATCACGAAAAGCGATGGTGATTATGTACCGTTTCACCCTGAAGATGATCAACAGATAATCATATATAGCTATGATTCAGCCCGATGGGTTCACGCCAAATGAATGACATCTTAAATCGGTGATATTTTGGTGTAATGGTGTCGACAAGTTTTAGCAGATTTAGATCCCAGAAAATGTTCCCATCGTGCAAAAGGATAAACCGTCATCTCAAAAAAGGGAGGAAAAAATCTAAAGATTATTAGTGCTACCGCATAAAGAGACTCAAAAGGGTTGTTCTTTCTCCAACCCTTCCTCCATTGAATTCCGCAGTTTTCAGTTTTGAATTGCTGTCTGATCTTTTCGGGTCAGTCAAAGTGGATTGTTCAGCAAAGAGGAATATCTTTGAACCATCTACACTGGACCAAATCTTACCTTGGTAAGAAGTCAAACCAAACAGTAAGGTAGCTAAGGTTGATAGGACTATCTCCATTTTAGAGGGAACGTGCAGCATACGCAGCTGTGGGAGTCAGATGCTGCCTACAAAGACACCAATCGTAATTTGTAATTTCTCTTGATGGGTTGTCATTAACCAGCTGATAGCTTTTCAGCCTAAGGGTGACACCCGTTCTTCGATGGACCCCGCGGCTAAGCTCGTTTGCGGGCGATCGTCAGCATCAATAGCTTCTTTAATGGGCTGAACCTTTCAAACCAATGGCGACGGTACATGTAGCCAATCCGTTCAATTACTTCATGCTCTTTCGGATCCCAGAGAGTGATTCTGACCTCGGTCTTTTTCAAAATGACTGAGCTAACATCTGATGCTATTTGGGGAGAGCGATTGACAAGGAGTAAAAAGTATAATTAAGAAATTATTAATGCTGACATGTACCCAGTGGGATTTTACCACCTTCCCGTCACTGTTCAAGCTTCCTACTATCTAGAGTATTAAATTCCATTCTATTTGGATAAAACAAAATCCTTGCTTTGAAAATCTTCCTAAGTTTATTTTGTTTGCAATATGTGGTTGAAACCATAAGATGCTTTGAAAATTGTATTGTTAATGAGTAGATTTTTTAATTTGAATTATGTATCTGTCCTTTTTTCAGGTAAAATAAAAGTGATGTTTGAAATAAAGAGAGTAAAATATTATACCCACACCCGTCCGCAAAAACTCAACCTAAAAAAATTGCCCTTGGGCACTTTTCGAATTCTTCTTTTTCAGAGTACAGTATTCTAATAGAAAGACACTAAGCCTTAGATGGTAACTGAAATAGATTTGGTTTAAAAATACAAAAGCCAAAATGTACATCTGTGTCTCAGTCAACCTCCTTTTCAATTTTTACCTCACTTTTTAATAGGGTGTTTGCTGCCTTTCTGGTGTTTATGCAAATGAATATTTCCATGTTTCCCTAATGTTCGACCATGAAAAGTAGTTTCTTATGAGGGACTTTGTCAAGGGCCTTGGGAAAAGTTTGATATGATGACGTCAACTCGTTTTTGATCATCCATGGGAGTAGCAATATCATTCACTACTGTGATTAGTTGGGTGTCACGGGGGTGCTTGAACAAAAGCCGTGTTCAACTGGGTTCAAGATTGTTTTCTTTAAAGATCAATTAATATGACATTACATCTCAGACCGATCTGGTAGACAAGTCATTATTGAGAAGCGTTTGACTGAAAACATTCATGTCCTGGGGGAATTTTTCTTGGTTACTTTCGTTTAATAATAAATGAAAAGAAATTGGGCAAAAATAGAACCTTCGTTTTGGTGAGTTTGGCTTTTCGGTTCGTTTCCACTAGTGCAACCCCATGGCCACTCATAGATACCTGGTATCACTTAACAATAAAAAACAATACTGGAGTAGACAGTGAAAGCGAAATCTAAGATGGTTTCTTTTTTTGCGGCCACATGTCCTTGTCGGGCCACCCGCTGCTTCTTCTCGGTTGTGACTACAGATGTTAAGCAGTAAAGTATGACATTTTGTCACTGTAGCCTCATACCCCGATTCGACAGCAGACGTAGAGGAGGACGTATCTTGTTTTTAGGCAATTACAGTTGGTGATTAACCATATTCGCGTCGATAGTTTAGTGCCTATTCAGCAAAAAAAGGACAATGCATCCAGTCTCACTCCACTGTGAAGAGGAACAAATTAGACGAAACCAGATAATAGAAACGAAGTTTCATGTCGATAGAGGTTTCGGAGATAGTGGAAATCGTATAATAATCGCGTTGTACGTTCTGGACAATAGAGGGCGTACGCGGTCACATTTGCATGATTGGAGTACTTTTTTCATTTAAGTGGAAACAAACGAACCCCAATGTAGTTATGGTGGTGATCGTAAACGATATTTTCCTCGCAAATTGTCGACATTGTTTATATTACTGTGATTGAATAATAACATGGAAGCTCTATGAAATGGGACTCATCACTATATAGTAGCTTTTCAGAGAATTAGAGCTCTTGCGAAATTTGATTTGCCGTGACTTCAACATGGAACGTAAGTAGGCCTACATCATGTCATTCATTGTACGTGGAAACATTCATCATCATCACGACGTTCATTGGCCAATGTTGGCTATTGTCTTTGAACTTGATTTTGAAGTTCAACTAAGCTAGTAATACTTTGGGGGTTGTCAATTTCGGAACCCCCCTTTTTTAAAGGAAGAATTAGATTTAAGCTTTCAGGCACCTAAGTAGATGACAATGACATTATTTCTCCAAACTGCAGGGTTATAATTTTGTAGAAAGAAAAGAGGGCAGGGTTTTGAATTTCAGGGTCCTGAAAATTTGTGAAATTGACCGTCTACGATACTTCTGCTCCATGAGGGTGCACAGCAATGCAGGCTGTCTCTCCTATATCCATTATCATCAGAAAGTTGGATGATTGTATGTTCCTCTGCCTTACCCATGTTATCCCTGCCCCACCCTTCGTTTATTGACATGGGAAGAGCTCTGTACATGGACATCACTTGACCCCTGTGTACAAACTCTGTGAAACTGGTCTGAAAATTTCTAATTTCTTTCTAAGTAAATACTTACATATTTTCCCTCCTAAATTTGAATTTTTAGGACATGTTGTCACATTCTGATGGCTGATAAACTACTTAATGTTCCTTCTGGATTCTGTGCAATGGCTGTTGCTAGACATTTCTCTCATCAGTACCCACTATCTGCCGTGTATAATCTGCATAGTAAGCTATGCACTTTGAGTGTAGATGTCAGTGACGTGGTGTACGTGCCAAGGTCATTAGTCATCAACGACTGTATAGGCGTATTCAGGATTATTTTGGAATTTGATTCATGTCACATTCAATTGTTGATTTTATTATTTGTTTAGCTGGTCACAGGAGACAGTGGCAAAAAGGAGAGTTTCCCATGCCACCTCCTAAGGAACAACAGGTAACCTTCAATCTGTCACCAAATCTGTTTGTTTCTAGTTTGGATTAGAAACTGAAAATGGGTCCTGACCTTATACTAGGGAGATATCTTGGGGTTTTGTTTGTTGAAAGTCTAGCTTTGATTATTTTTCAAGGAAACTTAGGGATACCCAACAGTCACACTTTTTTGGCTGATGCATGGTTTTGAAATCAGAAGGAAGCCGTGTGCCATGTTACATGTATCTGTGGTGTTAAATGTATGTCACATGTGGACATTTGTTGGCAAGTTGTCACTCACCTGCAAATCGTGAAACCTTGTGATCAAATCCTGGCTAAAACCACCAATGATCATCATAATTGTCTATTAATTTAAGCAAGTAATGTGTGCCACCTCTCCAGCGATAGCCTGCAGGAATCAGTACACAAATAGCTCTGTATTTCTGTAGAGTCTTACAGTTAGTTATCGATGAGATCTTTCCTTCCCCCCCAAATAAAAAAAAAACTGGAGGGGAAATTCCCTTAAGAAAATATAAATATCAGTATGAAGCACTTGTAAGTTGTGGAGTAGTTGTATTGTTCTTATTTCCAAGATTCCAAGGGATTAATGTTCTGCCAAACATTATCTTCCTCCAGACAAGCAGTGTGAGGGAAGATGTACCGGACAGATACGATAAATACCTGCTGTTTCTTCAAAGGAAAAACAGGTAATAAACTTGTTACCGAATGCTTATATAGTCACTGTTCAGCAGCAAGCCTGCAAGAATTGCGTGGGAGTTGCAGTAAATGCAGCAGAGCCTCTCAAACGTTGTTTGAATTGGATGCTGAATGCACAAGTATCCCAGCCCCCCAGCACTTTGTGGCCAAACTGTGTTCTAGTTAGCCTTTAAAGTTGCTGGTTGATTTGATCACCAGCTTATGGAAGTGTTCTTCACATTGTTAAATGACAACTCAGGCCTACAGTATACATGTACTTTTCAAGGAATTCTAATTTCTATGTAGTAAAATGTTGAAATTGGTGTTTTCTTTGTGGATCGTCATTTTGGAGTGAGAAAATTCAAATCAAGGGAATTCCATGAAGCTGCTCAGTGAGACTTCTTAAATTCAGCTGAGAAGTCTGCTCAGAAGTGATTTTTTTACTTGTAGAAGGCAGTGTCCCAAACAGACTTCCAGAGCTATTACTACTGTATAGGAGTTTATTGCATGTGCCTACATGCTTGTAATCAGTGGAAACCTATGTAGCTTTCTTCTGCCCTCAATGTGATTGGTTCACACAAATGTGCAGAGGCCTAAACATCTCTTCCAAAGTGGGCCCCTATACTGGAGCCGTTTAATGGAAAACGATGTAAAAGGATCGTGCTTGAACAAGGGCTTATAAACAGGTGTAGCAAGTTGTAAAATGTACGAGTGAAGTAACGTGAATGACATGGAGCGGGAAAGTGAAAAGCGATGGTAGAGGGCGCTAGACTAGATTACTGTGGATGAGCAGCCCGAGAGCAGAACTCAAGGCAGGACAAGCTTTAAACATTAGAAATGTGGAGGTTGCAGGTTTGTGCATGTTTGCTTTTACTGTTTTCACAGAGTGTTGAAAAAGCTGAAGGCTAAGGATGACCGACAAATCCAGCTGGAGCAGAAAGAGCAAGGCTTCTCCCTGTACGTCAATGGGGCTAATCAGAAGCTTGGTCTGACAGGCCTTGTCAAGCACTCACCGAGGAGGCCCAGCTCCAAGAAGCCCAAAACAGCCGGAGGTCTGTTAGTCTAGCCTGTCGTTGTGCTTGTCTCTGTGTGTCCATCTGGGTGTCTACAAGGAAGTTTTTGAAAAATTTAACGGTTCGGACCCTTTGCTCAGAGCACCTGGGACCAATGTCTTTGAGCTGCTCAGCATAGAAATTTATGTTTAACCTAAACTAAGATTGGTGGGCAAACTGTTACTTAATAAATGGTTGGTTCCGACCTTTGTTTCTTGTTTTGCTAAGTACATAACATTTGGCTTTGTAATAGTTTTGACTTAACATTTTCGTGAAATTGGATGCCGTAAGTGCTGCCCAGTAAGAGCATCTGCCTTTGTGTTTGCCTGTTCCTGTCTGGAACACAGTGACAATATTTGCCTTTTTTAACTTTTGGCATCAGACCCCAACTGAAGATGCTCTGCCAAATCTGCTTCTGGCCACTGCCAAGGTCGTGGGGTCAGTTCTAGAATTTGCGGTTGATGATGGCCATTGGCCAAGGTCTTGCTAATTGAAATTATGTGTAACCTGTTTGCACATTCACAAGTGGTTGGAAAAGATTACAGAAGGGCTTGTCAGATCATTTCTTCAAATCCTGCCGTCTGGCATATATTGCGGTGCAGATGTTCCTCGTCGCCCAGTGAAGGGTCTCCATGGTTACCAGGAGGAAGATGAGAAGGAAGATGCAAGCCGGGCCAAGACAGCACCCAGCAAGGTACAGAGGAAGAACTGGTTGCAGGTGAGTCCCTGATCTCCCCCCAACATCGCAGGGATGGTTTCAGTGTGAGACACTTGACAACGTGCTCACTTTGGGAACAATGAGCAGAATTTATATGAGACCATATCAACTCCTGGACTCACCGGACTTGATGTAATAAGGTGCGTCTATGTCAGCACATTACAAAGCTGTAGAGTGTATTTTAATCATATTATACAGACAAGTAGGGACATTACATTCTGTGAGTGCTCAGTGGCAGTTGAGTCATATGCTCTAGTCTCTCCTGTGGAGTTCCTCCGAAAATGCGACATAAACATTTTCAACTAGTAAACATTAACCCTCTCTGACCTAGAAGTGCTATATAGTGGAGGTCATTACGCACAATTCGCATTTGAAGATCATAAATGTCGACGGTCAGTGCATTCCTTCGTGCACATCTGATATTTTCCCACCAGAGGGACATTGTTTTCAATTAAAATCATGACATCTCTTTTTCCTATACAGGGCAAATGCTGTTGACCTCTGTCTAATATGAATCATTGTGTGAACAGTTTCAACAGGCTGGAAGAAATAACACCAGTATATTCAGAGTTTGGCAGACTCGCCTTAGTGTGTGTGCAGGAGAGGAACTGATTGGATATTGGGTTTGCTGTGGAGTTTCTGGTTGGCTGCAGATTTGGTTTTTTAGGAATGACCGGTTTCATATTCTTGTTCTGTAGGAATCCTTCGACATCAAGACCAATGAGGGAGAGAAGCTTCGGGTCAGGTCAAGGTGGGGCAGAGGTCAGTCGTCAAGATGTAACAAGCATTGTGACTTGAAATTACACACAAGTCTATGGTAATGGCTGTAGCCATTTTCCTTAGAGATGTGCGTATTTTCAAGCCATAGCCAAGTAAATAGGACCACGGCCTTATTACAGTTATTCGGTGATCAGGTGTCGTCATTGAACAGTTGATGCAACTGCCTAACAAAGTATGTCAGAAAGCCTCTTTGTTTTGTTGTTTTTAAGACATGTTACCCTTGATTGTATTTGTAGTTTGTTTTGAAGACCTACTTGTCCTTTTCAATTACTCTTTGTCTAAGGAGATGTCTTTCTTTTGGATTCCTGGTGACATTTGGAAGAGACTTTTGTGCTTTACATTTTAGTTTGCTCAGCAAATCATCTTCTTTGCCACAGATGAAGATGATGCAGATTGTGACTATGAAGATGACTTTGAGATGTACGAGAGCGTGAAAGCATCCCTACCTCCGACCAACACATCCCCTCCTCAACAGCAGGCCTGTGCATCTTCCGAGGAGCATCCTGAACAAGAGGACTATGATAAGGTTTGTTTCTCAGCCTCTCGTAGATGGGGTCAGCGGTTGTGTTCTGAGGCTGCACATGTACAGTTTGTGGCCTGCACTGGTCTGAATTGTGGTTTCAACACGTGCATGTGAAATGGTGTAGATTTCAAACACGTTCAGCGGTTGAATCTTAAATGACATCTTAAAAAGACGGCGTAAATGGCTTTCATATGTGCTTCAATCGATCGAGCCCGTACCCTTCATAACATAGGAAGCAATCTTTGTGGCAAGTTTCTGAAATCTTGAATCTTTTAAAAGAATACTTTATTACTTTTAAACCGCTGTGTTTCTCCTGGAAACTGTTGGTGATTTGTAAGTGGCTAGGCATAACTGATTTTTCTCATAGATTACGGAGAATCTCACGCTGATCCTTGAGGGACCCACAGATGGGGACAGTGACGTGGAAATAGATGCTGGAGACTACAAGAAAACTGGTGTTGCCAGGGAGACTGATGAGGAAGATGAGGAGGAAGATGAGGAGGATACGAGCGACCATCTTCTCCTGAGTATTGAAGATATCAAGGTGAGTGCTTCCGTTATTGTTGCCAAGCCAGTAAATGACAGTGTCACTGGTAGATCCAGTGAGGGTTAACGGGGGACATGGCCCTCCCCCCCACAAGAGACTTTTTTACAAACAGTGAAAGAAAACTGATTCTGGGGAGTGTCTGTTTCTTTTTCCTTCCTTCCAAAAGCATTTAAAAAGACCCCACATTAGCCTCAATCCTCAAAAAAAATTTAAAAAATTTCCAATTTCTTGGCTCCCCCAAAATTAATTCCCCCCCCCCCCGAAAAAAATTGGTTCTGGATGTGCTCATGTACGTGTGCAGGGAAAGTTCAACGAGTTCACCTGACCCCTAGCAAATAAATCAGTTTAGTAAAATGCGTTGTCCTTTTTAGCTCCCAGTGTAGCACAGTGGGTGGAAAGAAGCAATTAATGCAAAATGTGTTGCTTAGGGACACATACACATTGATGCTGTGGTTAGTATCTTTATATCCCTTCTGTTACTATTGTAAAGCTGATAATCATTTTAAGCAACAAATACAGCTGCTGTTCAGTTATGAAAGCAAAATGACAGACGTGTAATTGCCATTTCTTTCAACCATGATTTTTATTTCTTTTTTTTCTCCTTTAAGACATTAAGACGGAGTTTAGAAGCAAATGCTGACATACGAAGGAGTATCTCACACAAGGTATGAGGGATAGTGGGGGGGGGCAGGGGATGGCAAGCTAACAGAGTTGCACTTTCATCACCTGCAATTAGTGTGTACAGTTTCTGAATATACCGAGCCCTCAACATTGATTCACACTTAGCACATATGCATACCTCTAGAGTGTGCAACACTGACATTATCAACCAGCATCTGCAAGATTTGTTATTGTGGAGTTGAGGTTGTTAGCATTGTGGCCAACGCTTTGAATAGCGCCTGAATCAGTTGCAAATGCAACCAAATTTTTGCCAACGCAATCATATTTTCACCATACAGTCACCATTTGTGACTTAAAAACTACATACAAAATGTACTTGAACAATTTTGAGTATGCTTAAAAATAGAAAAAGGAATGATTATGTACTGACAAATTGTTCCAGAAAGGTATAAGTGACAGCCAAATCACATCATGAATTGAATGTTAAAATGTGTTTACATTGTCCATCCGTGCAGGCCAGGGAATCATGACCAGGCCCGACACACGTGTACACGTACACCACATGTCACACAACTAGCATATCATAATACAGGCACCGCTGAGGTCAAACCATTGACGAAATCAGGGTTCTCGTCAGGGGTTTCAGCCACAGACGTTATGATGTCCGTGGTTTCAGCGTCTCGCAGGACACCCTGCTGCATGAATTGCACTATTTCTGACACTCTGAATCACAGCGACACCCTTTAATTCCAGAATGAGCTCTGTTTCAGGCTTGATTTACGCTGCAGCAAAAAAGCAGCAATAGCTGGAGCCCAAGCCGTGGTTTAGAAAATGGCCTGAATATCCACACATAGTGCATCAACAACTTATGTTTAGATCCAGAGCCAACCAACATTGACTTGTACCCCATGCAGATCGTGTGTGTGATCACAATATGCGTACAGTACATACATGTACGATGTACATTGCACGTGTGGGTACATACCCTCATGAATATTCAGTGCACGTGGCAATTAGTAGCACAGTTCTGTCAAATCTGTGCACAATTAAGTGAGTTACCAACTTGAACTTACCATGTTTATTATTACATGTACTAATTGTACATAAGTTTTACTGTAGACTACGATCAAAAGTTATAGCTGCCTTTTTTGCTGGCGACAATATTTTTTCCTTTTAGGGGGTCAATTGATTACATAAGATCATAAAAGTGCTGGCACCTAGATTTTTCCCCGTTGGGAGCCAATGGCTAGCAAATCATTTTTTTCTGTTTAACCCTAACAGTCCTCCATCCTTCACCTGTTGGAGGACTGAGGACTGTTAGGGTTAAAGGTTTGATTGTGGCTCTTGCTGAAGATGTAATGTTTACGAAGACGAAGGTAGCTAATAAAGCAGGGAAATGTAATTTGAGATCGAGTCCTTGAGAAAGTAGGTCATGCTCCTCCCTCTGGTGATTGAAGTGTCCATAATTCATTGAGTAGAAACGGTAAATGCATAGATTCGATCATGGCAGTGTGCAGTGAAGAAAAGTTTATTCGTTTGTTTTTGAAATACTGTTTACTTACTTTCTCCACCTGCTTTATTTTAAAATAGCTTTTGAAAATTGAAATTTGTTTACTCCTTCTGGAGTACTTTGTAAACTTGTTTCTCCCAAATGACATTCTTCTTATTACGATTCAGTCATTAGTTCTTCCGTCGTGTTCTCTTGAGAAGGACCAGAGAAGATGCACTAATTCTGTTGAAATGCTTACTTACCGTCAGTGTGATGGTAGCCCCACTTCCTCAGATGACGAGGGCGAAGATGATGTCAATGAAGATGAGACAGCCAGCAGCATGGAAGCAATGGATGAGGTCATTGAGGAGGACATTAGCATCTTGGCTGACAGTCTGGAGACAGGGCAGGATGTTACGCTGGAGCCTGGCGATATGATTGTCCTGGAGTTTGCATCGTCCTCCAACAAAGGTCACAGATGTTTTGAAAATACTGAGTTGTTTTTTTCCAAATCTTCAGATGCAGCTGGGTTCCAGAATAATCGTCTAATATATGTTGTTAAAACTGGATCAATATACTCCCATCTCTGGTCTTGCATGAAACGTTGTATTACTACTGTTGTGGAAAATGAAGCTGCACCGAGAACCAAGTTTTTGGCTCATTGGTCAAGATTCATGAAACTGAAACCAGTGTTGAGGACAAAGTTAAAATCTGGAAAACCCTTTATTGCCTCTACTTATTTTGTCACTGAAGAATGTGTTTTTGTCTTTTCTTTGTGAACAGGGCCAAGACAGCAGAAGATGCTTTCAGCAAAGTAAGTCATGTGCAAGAATGATTTAACAAGAGCCATTAGGAGCATTCAAATTCTACTTCAAATTCAATTTATGCGTTATTTACTATACAGTGATTATCAGCTATTCAAAACTGTTAAGCAGTTTCATTTCATGAGTGGGGCATTCATCCTCTTTGCCTGGTGGTAAAATTGATTGCAGAAGGAAACCAGATGTGGATGAGGTTACCATGGCAACCAGACAAGCCAAAGATGGAAGGAAGGTCGCTCAGCCAGACTCCAGCAAAACCTCAGAGCTGAGGGAACTTAGAACAACTTCAGGTAGAGGGAAATCAAAACGATTCATCGTTTTCTTTGGAAGGTTTGAGCAGATTGTAGGATGAAATTGTATAAATTTAGAAGCAATGAATACACTGAAGTCTTGTTTGGAATCTTTCGACCCCTCCCCCCAGCCCACTCCCCCAGCAGGCCCCTTTCATCCCAGAGGAAGCGATCCGAGAAGGACTGGCAGGTTACGGAGGACCTGTCAACCATCCAGAGGGCCATGAAGGCAGAGAACGAGGCAGCTGTCAGCAAAAAAGGAGCCAGTGGAGCCAGGAGTGCTCCCCTGCAGGCATCGGCCAAGGTTGGGAATCGATCTTTAGTTTCCTGCATCACAGATTAAAATAGGGAAAATTGGTCTGTGTGGTGCATTTTTTCCCAATTGGGAATCTGTCAGAGTCAGTTGAAATCAGCCCAATTCACAACATGTAGAGATGCCTGGGTAAATTGAATTGGCCCATTTGGGAATCTGTCAGAGTTAGTAAAATCGGCCCAATTGGGAATCTGTCAGAGTCCGTTGAAATTGGCCCGGTTCACAATATATGGAGTGACAGAGTAAATTAAATTCTGTAGACTGTGAAATCAATTTCGTCAAGAGGCTGTTGCAAAATACAATTGGTGTTGGTGCTACCCTTTAGAGCTTTTCACAATCGACTTGACTTAAAAACAAATGAAACAATCTTACTCTGGAGAAGAGTCCAAAGTAATTTGGTAGATTGTGTGTTTGAATGCCAGATTGTGTGTTTGAATGCTTATTGACATTGTGTTCAAAGAGATATCCCTTTGAATTTCTTCTTGTCTCATCAGGTGTCACCAACACCACCTCAAACTGCAGAGCAGCCTTGCTCTTCCTCTGTTGCATCTACGGCGAAACCTATGGCCAGTACTGACGCTGCCTCGGCCGTCATATCTCCTCAAGATCTGCTGTCGTCACAGAACCTTGATGAACACAAGCTGGCTTTTGTACTGGACAGAGTCAAACAGATGGATGCAAGGTGAGTGCAATGGATCTCTAACCGAGCGTAATCATAACGATGGCATCATTGTTATCGCTTTGTGTCATCACGTGATCATATGGGTATCATTACGTCTGAATAAGAGGCATATGGGTAATTCCAGAAATTAGGAGTCCATTTTTTTTTGTGTCCCTGTCACATCTGACACATGATTTTGTAAGCTCAGAACACATTTTCTAATTTCCACGAGTTATGAATTAATGCAAATTACCTCCCAAACAAATAATAATATCTTGAAATCAATTCTGGTGATATTTCCATGTCAAATAACAAAAGTCTGATGTAACAGGCATGAAAATTTAAATTTTACACTTTTGGACCCCTAATTTTTGGAATTACCCATATGGCAATTCCTGGATACACCGTAGTTTTCTAGGGAGTACGGATTGCTTTTGATAAAGGTAGTCTAGATGGTATTATAGGACATCCCTATAAGAGCTGAGAAGAGACACATTCCACCTGTACCCTTTTTATGTGGGTGAACCAGTGAGCATGTGGTGCTACTTCCCAGCAGAGCCAGTTACATAGCAAAACAAACAGCAAAGTGAAACAAACGGGGAGCCAGCTAGAAACAGTGTTTTCTTCGCTCAGCAAATATCTGTTCTAATAGTCATGGCATGAAATTGGTCCTGAGCCGAGCTAGGTGGATGGCAGAAATGGCTCTGAGTTTTTGTTGACGGAGCCTAACGCACCTGCAGCCTATATAGTAGCCAGATGCAGTGTGACAAGAGTCAGCATTGCCCACACACCTCACCCACATGGCTGTTTGAGTGGAGAGAGTGGTTGAACACCTTGCCTAGGGATAATAAGCTATTCTTGGGCCCTGAATGACACAGAAGTCCTATTACTTAATGTTCCCCGCTGAAAGACTTGACCAGTTGCTGAGGTCATGTAGATGGCCCTCAGGGTTTAATACAAAGTATCCGTCATTGCTCTTGCTCAGGTCACAGAGAAAACTGCTAGCAGCACTGGGCAAAGTGGAGGAATCAGCCAGGGTAGGGGATGATGACAGCACCCCTAGCCACACCCCTAGCCACGAGGGTGGTCAGACAGTGGCCGATGATAAACCATTGACTGCTGAGGGTGATATGGACAGATCTGCGGTGTTTACTACACCTATGCTGGCTCCGAGAGCAAAGGTGCACTGAAGTTTTATAGGCTGCATTCCATGTGGAGTTTCCAAATCTACAGCCCTAGTTCACCGGTCGTGCCATCTTGTAAAATGTTTCAATAATTATAACTGATATTCTGTCCTTGACTGTTCTTTTGTTTGAGTAAACTTTGGAAAATAGAGGATTTCACTCATCAAGATCGAGAGTATTTTGGTTTCAGCCTTTTTTCTTGGTATCATACCTTTTTTCTGAACTGAGATTAAGTTGAAGTCACTAGCTTCATGAGACCAGATCCAATAGTTTCTTTATTTCAGATGTAAATTCTTTACAGTTCTAAGAATGCTACTGATAATACATTTCTTCATCAACATGAAATGCTTCTTACATTGCTATGTGACTCCTCAAACTTTGTGTAACGGTTCAACATAGATGCAGATTGCTTGGAAGCAATCACTTTTGTTTCGTTATTGTTACTGGTTTTTCAAGATTGGAATGGTGTATCCCAAATCCATAGAAGTTGCTTGTGTTGAATGATGTTTGTGAGTTGATGCAATGATAACATCTTGGACTGTACAGAGTGCCGCTGTCACCAGATCAAGTCAGTTAGCCCCGCCTTCCTCACCACTCACCACCACCGCTACCACCACCATCCCGACCCTTGAGATCACTTTAGAGGCCAGCAGCAACTGGGGTCATCCCAACAGGATCGGCCTGACCGATGTTCAGTTCTTCGACCTGCAAGGAAAAAAGATCACCTTGGGTGCCGGCCAAGTCAAGACAGCCCAAGCCCACGAGAACATCAAGGGGGAATTGGAGAACATCGTCAATGGCAAAGCCAAGGTGAGACTTATGCGCCCCCTCCCTGCACTCAGTTTACACCCATCGTAAAGCTGTGTCAGAGTGACTTGGCTAGGTCTTGAAATAGTACAGGTGCCCATGGAATAAGCTCGCTAGCCATTTCCCATTGACTCGTGTGACTGCCAGCCATAGCCTGGTAATTTGGACAACAGTCTAAGACCAGGCTATATTCGAGTCTATTACAAATCCCTGCAAGTCCATCACAAGTCCATTACAAGTAATCCAGTCTTACGCCGAGTCACAAGCTTTTTCAAATAAAACCTTTGACAACACTTCTCATCCTTCTTCTTGTGGCTGGACTTGACAGCTTTGACCTAAGACTGCTTTTGTAGAAAATGAGGATAAATGTGCCTGAATATGTCTGGTAGGGACGTTGTGTGTGGACAGGGCACATATTGGTCAGTTTGCCCTGTAAAGTGCTGCTGACCAACCATCAAGTAGTGCTTACTTCACATCACACGTGGTCGATATTTTCAATCTCTATAAGATCGTACCTGTTAAACTGAAGAGGAAGAAAAGAAATGTGATTAGTTTGAGACAAAAAAATTGTTACTAATTAACCAAGATGTGGACCTCGAATAACAGTTAACCTGTTCACTGCTTAGATCTTGGTAGATACACAGGCCATATGATTGTGCAGGATTATACTTTCAAGGTCGTAAGGTCATAAGTGGCAAGGTTAAATCAAGCGTACTACTGTCCAGGTATCTGCACAGTTTTTTTAGCTTTAGCCATACATTTGAATTGTTTCCATGACAACAGACAACAAAGGAAAGGAACATGTGGAGCTGTGCTTACTGCCGAGGTGAGGTCCTAAAACTGGTCTTCAGTATTCCCACCGGGGATACCCCAACAGCAGGCATCTCAAGAATCGACGTCTGGAACTTCAACAAGAGTCTGAAAGTAAGTTTGCTCGCTCAGGACCGGCAGGAGAAATTAGAGTTAAAGCTTGGGCAAGAGAAGCTGGCTCATACCTGACACAAAAACTGTCATCTTCCTTTTATAAACACATTCCTGAAGTTGAACCTCTTGACATCAAGTTTTCTCAGCATTTGTGTTTTTATGGTCACACAGAGTGTTAACAAAGTGAAAAGATAAAGGCATTTGCAGTTATATTTTTCCTGTAACAAGAATGGTATTTTATTATTTGACTTTTTTTAAAATTTCTTTCTTCTTAGGAATTGAGTATAGGTGTAAAGGATGTTAACGTATTCGTTGATGGATGTCTATTGTGGGCGGGGCGGGTTGACAAAGGGTGTGGCAATCAGGTCTTTGATTACATGACGCCCATTGTCCTGAGTGACCCAAGGCCCATCGAACCTAACCCGTCAGAGCCCCTCAAAAAGGATGTCGACAAACAGCAGTCTGCCATTGGCAATCCAGTCGGCCCGGACACAAACCAGCCACTGCATAGGAACAATAATGGTTGTCACGGTGATGTCAAGCACGTCAGCGAAGAAATCGACAAGGAGTTGTTCTCCAAGGAAAGGACTCCTCTGGCAAAACCAGCCCAGGAAGACACTTACCACATCTCGCGAGCTGCAAAACAAAACTCGAGTTTGAGTAACAATGCGGAGGAGAGAAGGCCTGAATTGCCACGCAGCAAGACGAGGATTCTGAAGTGCTCGACGGATAACTTGGAGATCCCCACTGTCGATGACAGTCTGGAGATCTATGCAACTCCGAGGGTGTCGGAAAAATCTCCGCTGCAACGGTCGCAGGAGGAAACAGGAAAAGATCGATTTGAGTGAGTTTTTAAATTTTTTAGGCCAAAGACGCATGATATCTGTCCTCATTGCACATAGGTGTTCTCTCAATTCCCAAGAAAAGACCTGTAAATGTTTTCACTGAAGCCCCAGGGGCTGTGTTGCATTGTCAGCAAGTTGGACTTTTATCTTGTTCTGGTGTGCATAGATCTGGTCGCAAAACTGTGGTCTTAAAGGGGAGATCTGACGGTAACAAGAACAGCCCAGCATCCCAGTCAGAGGGGTTGGATCAGAGCCTGGAAGAGCCATCCATGATGGAACAGCTGCAGAGCATAACAGGGTATGTCTGGCGAAAATCTCAATTGTTGGACAGCATATGCTCTGCATACTTCCGTCACTTGTCAGACTGTTTTCATTCACTTGTAGATGGGCCTAGAGTTAGCAGACGCCACTGTAGAAATTAGAATTATTTAAACTACTTGTAGAACAGAATCTTTAGAAGAAAGCTGCTGAATATTTTCAGCCCTTTATTTTCATGAACCTCTTTCCACCTTGTACTGTTTGAAAGCTAGATTTCATGTTTAGTACAACAGTTAAGTTCGTGGTAGCTCAAACCATAGAGGAAGGAATGTTTCTTCCTCCATACTCAAATTGACACATGGACTTAACAGATGGACTGAACATTTTGGTCTGTCTTTATCAAGAAATCCCTTCTCTTCCAAGATTTCGTGCTATCCAACAGAACTCCATGCACTGTCAATGTTCAACTGGTCCACACTATATCACTGGTATTTGATTTGACAGAGCTGCTTAGCAAAAAAATAGAAATACAGTTGCTCAATAAATCCCTTAACCAATGTGACTTAACCCAAGAAAAGAGAGTCACATTAAATGCTGCATGTCAACTTGTGCAGTTACATGTAGCTCTCTGTCCTCACACTTTCTGCTAAGCAGATTAGAATAAAATGAGCTTAGCAGTGTTGCATTTCTTATAAAGTAGCTGATTGTTGCTCATTAAGCATATTGTATGAGTAAACTTTAGGTGGGCGTCGGTGGTAATTTAATGCACATTGCGCAACGTTTTTGGTTGGTAAGCCATAAATGCTAAGTTACAAGTTGATGGCCTAAGCAGTTCTGTGAAATCGCATCACATGTCTTACGTTCCTTGTTAGTATTCTTTCCTATGTTGTCTGTACTCCTTTGGTCCTCTTTTTTCTCCACCGCTTTTAGAAGCAAAGAGAGGCCCAAGTGGCTCCGCCCATCTTGTGATAGGCAGGCTAAGTAAGTCTCTGTTGTAAGCTGTAATAATCAAATGTAAAAGCATGAATGCACATGGAGCGCAGGCTTTTCAAACTCTTTTGCGATTTTTTTTTCAGTATGTCTGCATGTAAGGACCCCAGATGCATGTATTCTTCTGTGATTTATTCCACCTTTGTGCATAAAAATTCAAAGTAGAAATTGAATACGGGCGATTCACAATAGTGGGCCTTCAAGAGTTTGTGATGTGCTGGCCAATCACAACATGCGAAATCTGTCAACCCTTTCCAAACACGCACTGGGTCAACAGATTTCGCGCATTGTGATTAGCCAATGCATTGCACACTCTTGGAGGTGTACTATTGTGAAACGCTGGTATTGACCCTGGTATTTTTTCCCCATCACATTGACACTGGTGTTGCCCAAAAATTGAAAAATGATGTTTAGTTGGAGAGAAAATCCGTTGAAAGAACAGACATTGTTTAAACTTACACTGGCATGGATATAATTGGGGGACCAGGATTGGTAAAACCGATGTGACTTCTCATTGGTATGGAAAAGGTTCTTTTACATTTTCCTTTTTTCACCAAAATATTATCCATACAATCCATAATCTTCATTTGTTTAAACTGCCATGGAATGCTGATACCCATAGGTGCTACCTAACCAGCAGGTGGACCCACCTTTTGGGTCTAGGGAAGGGAACAAAGTTGAATGTTCTTTTGCTACTACAACTGTCTGTTTTTTGTTTTTTTTTCCAATTTGGTTTTCTATTTGTTTCAGATTTATCTGTGTATTTTTGTAAACATGGCATGCCTGACACAAGCTTTTGCTTTGTTAGGATTTTCCAACTCTTCTCAAATTAATCTGCTGATGTGTTGTTCTTTTATATCTCATGTTATGAGCCCAGCCACGAAAACGAACCCTCCCCTCCCCAGTGCCATTTCTAAATTACTTCCGTTGTTAATCCCTAAGAGATTGGCAATCTAGTCTGGGCAACTTTTCCCCTGCTGGATACACCACTCTTTCATACCGTGCTTATACCTGTTGTGTTTTCTGTAATGTAACCCTGCTTTTGCCAACAACCTCTTACTTCTTTTACCTGAAACTCTCCCCCCCCCACACCGAAAGGTAGCCTTAGGGAACATGGGATTTCCTACATGCAGCTCGTAGTGCCAATCTTCTGTCACAAATAGCATTGCATGTATCATAAATCTGTGCTGCCTTTTTTTTCTGTTTTGCTTCGTTTTTTGGGGGGCTTTTTTTTCTCATTTTGTTATATTCAAATTTCCTTGTATTCACAACATAAAGCAGAAAGAAAGAGGTACCCATTGGTTGACATTGTCGTATTTAGATCACTAAAAAAAGGCAACATTTAATATACGTAAGTGTTAGAAATGGAATTTGCTTCAAGTTTCAAGAGACAAACAGAACTGTTCCTGTAATACAGCACCTCTGGCTGGTCATGTTCCCTTTCTGCCCACCCCTCCTTCAAGCATAATTGTACCAGCCACAATAGCTTTGATCAAAACTTGTTGGTGTCTGCTTGTGTGAGAGGGCACTGCAGTTAATGACTACTGATGGACGTTTCCATCAGGGAGATGCAAATTCAAACAGCTTGCTTTCCCCTTCATTAATCTCCTTCTAGTCTAGCAGGAAGTTGGGTTCCAGTCCCACCCAAGCAAGCACAGTATCTTACTGAAGAGCTCTTAGAAAGCATTGGGTATCACTGTTGAAGTTAAGTCCATCACAAGTCCCTGCAAGGCCACCACAAGTCATCCAGTTTTTTAGCCAAGTCACAGGCTGTTCAAGTGAACTGTGACAGTGTTCACCCTGTTGCTTGTTATTGTCTTTTGAAAGGGCTTGTAACTAGACTCCCGAATGGGCTTGTAACTGGACTCCAGAATGGGCTTATAACTGGACTTATAAAGGGAGTTTGGCTGGACTTGACTTTAACGCTACTGACCAATTAAGTAATGAATGGTAAAAGGCAGAACTGACTACTGAAATTTGCGTGCCACAGTGTAACATTCAATGAACAGTCAACAATATTTTTTCCTTTCTTTTTCTGTTTTGAACAGTGGCACTCAGTCGAAGAAAGCATTGAAGAAGCCACCGTGGTTGAGTAATTTTAGTGAGTATCACACCCCTTTTGAACAACCCTTTCACTTTCCTTGTATTTTTCAGAATTCTTTTCGTGCACATTTTCCATATTGATACATTTTTATGGAGCAAATTTTATGTAATTTGTGGTAGTTACTATTTTTTTATCTCTTGTTCATCTTAAAATGATGAATTGAGTGTGAAAGTTAAAGGTATGTCTTTGTCAAAAATGATGTAAATTGGAAGTGCGGCTTTGAGATCCATCCTTGGAAACAGTGCCTGTAATTCAAAAGATTTCACACCCTTTTTTTTTTCAAACTTTTTTGCTTGATGATAACAATAATTGACAACCAAATCCATTAACCAGTGTTTTTGGAAATCACACATCAGTCTTTTATTTTCCTTTTTATCTTTCTGTTTACCTGTTGAAAAGATGATGAAAATACTACAGCAGACCCCGAACCAAGCAGTGACCTCATCCATGCAGGAGAAGACGAGAAGGAAGACGATGCAGCCAGTGAGTGTAATTGACCTTGTTTCCTTCCCCCACTTGTACTTTTAGACTAAGAAGATTGCCAAGAATTGAGGACTTTCCGTTTCCGTTGTACTGTTGTACATATTTCAACAGTGGTACGGGCATATGCAGCTCACATCTGTTTCTAAAGATGTACTTTGTGTTTGGGACTTTATGCCCCTGAGGCAAAGTACATCTTGGTACGCCAGGGCTCTTTTCCAATACTTAACTTCATCTCCGTCTCAGGCTTCGTTCCCAAAACCAATCCCCGATTGTGGGCCTGAAGCGTTTAAATTAAATTGGATTACTGTAATTTCTGGCTCTCTTGCATCTTATTTGATGCTTTGTGGCACTATTAAACTAATTACTGCGCTTACAGCTTCAACGTCAGCTAGTTAAAAAACAGTTGAAGCCTGAGACGGAGCCGAAGTTGAGTATTGGAAAACGGCCTAAGTCATAAGTCAGCTATTTCACAAAGGCAAATAATTGAAAGAAGTCTGTACCCGAGAACGCAGTCTGTACTTAGTACCACAGTGTAAAATTTGAAAGCCTAATTCGTGAGATTGTTGGTTTACTTGTGCATCTGAAGGGTTGCTAGCGGACGAGCATGAGGACACAAGGTGGAGGCAGCGGGACGTCTCAATCGGAGACAGTGACGATTTGGAGGAGGAGCCTGTTGGCAGTAGGAGGCGGGCCCAGTGGCGGGCCCAGAGAGAGCTGAGCTTGGAAGAGTCCTGGTCCTCGCTGAACCTCTTCAACAAATCCCAGATGGGACGGATCTCCGCCAACGTCAACACCGACGTCGCCGGTGTGTTGTTATGAGTTGTTAGGTTACCGAAGAAAGTTGAGGGCCAGTGTGTGCCTGCCATGGAAGCAGATGCGCATAAAAATTATTTCTGTCTTGGAGTATTTTGCAGTAAAGTTTGCCAGAGTTGAAATGTGTCACGGTTCTAGTGTCTAGCAGTTAACCAGTAGTGTATGTGTACTTAGGTGATTCACTTGATGAATACCTGACTGGACGAAAGTTGGCACAGCTGGAAGAAGCTAAAGATGATAGCAGGTACATCAGTTTGTTCGTTGTCGTCGTTCACCTATCAAAAGAAAAAGTTGCCAAAGTTTGAATAGATCATCAGCCCTCGATGTCCTCATGGTATTGGTGGTAAAACTGTCCAGGGATGGATGCCTTGTCTTGAACTCTAATACCCCAAATCTATCCAAATCTGGTGTCTGATTTTCAGGACTGTACACAGCCCAGCCGCGTGTACTTTACATGGGGCTTTATAATTGATTGATTCCCTAGTTTTTCTGAGGTACAAAGAAAGTGTCATTGGTTTGCTGCTCAGTGTGGCATTCAGGATGGTTCTTAGCTCTAATGTCAGGAGAGTTTGGGTGAATGCCCACACGGGATACATCTAGACTGAGTTACTTTCAGTGTTGCCCAGGCCATCACCAGTCCCCACATGTCCCTACAAACACATCACAAGTCATTCCAAATCACTGCCATGCATGAGAGCATTCAGCTCTTCCCGTCGCCCAAGACCAGTATTGTAGTCAAGACAACCAGTTACAAAACTAGTCACAAATAACAGGTTGAAGATTGACACATGAATGCTTTTGGGTGCAGTTCATTTCAGTGGTTTGTGACTTGAATTCTTGATATCGTGTTAGTCTTGCAATGATCGTTTTGGGTCTCGTGATAGTCTCAAGGGACATCCACACTCAGAATTTTGTTTCTTTCCACAGTGATGAGTTCGAGATTCCCTTGTTACCGATGGGACAGAGACTAACCATCAACATCCGCACGACGTGGGGTGACAAACATTACATTGGTCTCAACGGAATTGAGATCTTCAAGAGTGACGGGGAACCAGTCAATATAGTTGAGGTGTGTGTCAGAAAACCGTTACTTGATTTAACCCTGCCAATCATGTTCCCACAGTAAGCAAGAAAAACAGGTTTTTTTAAAAAAGAGTTTTGAAGATGACTTATATCAAGGAATCATTTTGCATGAAAAGCAACTTCTAATTATTGGCAGACCCCATCTCACCCCTTAGTTCCTGAACCCTAACGCTCTTAACTTGTAACATAAACATCCCTCTATAGACAAATATATTGACCATGATACTGCTGTCACTGGTCGTTTGCAGTGGCCCCCACCAATGGCGGTGAGCATTGTGATATGTATTTTGAAGAGCACAGTGTTTTCCACCATTCAAGGGGGCCATCGGATATATGCCACAAAAAGAGTTTGAAAACTCACTAACACAACAAAAGAGGCATGGGCGTACCTTTGTAGCTTTTGACAGCAATAAATCTTTGCAGTTATGTTACCTGTTTCGGCCTTATTTTCTCTGATCCACATCCTTTTTTCTGTAATGGCCATTTGCAGATCTCAGCTGACCCCAGTGACATCAACATCTTACCCGACTACGGCAACGACCCTCGTGTGGTATCCAACCTCATCGATGGTGTGAACCGCACTAGGGATGACACCCACATGTGGTTGGCTCCCTATACGCCAGGCACCAACCACTTCATACAAGTGGTGTTCGAGTCGCCAGCCAAAGTGGCTATGATAAGAATATGGGTGGGTTAAATATTTTGGTTGTTATTTAATTTATATTCTTCATGGGTTCTCTATGGTGTGGGGATTTTAGTGGTATTGTGAATTGTGTTTTACATGGTGTGGCGTTTTGAGAAAATTGATTGTTGTCTGTAATATTTTTGAAAGCATATAGTGTAAATTTCAGAAGTTCTTACATTGGTTTTGTTTGTGATTCACTTACATCTTTCGTGCCTATTTTTATTCAACTTGTATGCATGGTCGTGGTCCTGTAACAAAAATATGGGGTTTTTTTGCCTATAGAACTACAACAAGTCTCGAATTCACTCTTTCCGAGGAGCCAGAGATATTGAAATCTCATTGGACGGCCAGTATATCTTCAAAGGAGAGATTGAAAGGTGACCATTTCCTCCTGAAGCATTATTAAACCAAAGGAGTGACAACTTTCGAATCAGCAATCCTGCAAAGATAAAAAGAAAGACCCACAGTTTGTTTTGTTTTTTACCACTTTGGCACAGAAATAGTTCAGTGAAAGAAAATCAGTTTCAGAAATAGCTGATGGCCGCATCAGAGAGCCAAGGCAAGCAGGCTTGAAACCAAATTCGCACAGTGTACACTTAGTGGTTGTTAAAGACAGGGAAAGCCAACTACGTGTCCCCAAATCTTTTTGCTTGACGTTAATTTGATTTTCAATTTCATTTGACCTTCCTGCAGGGCCTCGGGCATAGCCGAAGGAGAAACGGGCAGTTTTGGTGATGTAAGTCAAGAAATCCATGCTGATTGTTGCCCTATTCAGAGCAAACTAGGAACATACAGACCAGCATTTATATCGGCTCAAGTATTGAAACTTGGTACAAGGTCATTTTCATCCAGAAAGAATATGAGAGGATTCTTCATTTAAATACTTTTCAAACAACTTGAAAAACACTGTTAACCGGTTCAGGCTGGGGGCATTTTACAAATGTTGATTCTGCTGGGCCGGAGTATTTTTCATTTTTTCCGTTTTCCAAATTCTTTAAAAATTCATATTTTCATTTACTGGACACTTACACCAACATGAATGACTGTCTGGTTTCTACTCTAATCTGACAGACAACATCTATTGACGCCGGAGTATTTCAGCCAGGTCTAGCCTGCTGCCTTGTAAAAAGAGCCCAATTTGTGTGGTGTTGCGTAATTTTCTTTTGTTCGCAAAACTGGCACTGTGCGCCGTTGACCTCTTTTCAATAGGGGCCAGATTAGCGTGTAGCAGTAATGTGTGGCTCATCGCTGCGGTGTTGGAGCGCTTTTGTCCCCGGTGGAAATCCGCTCGCACTGAATGCCACAAACAGTGGTATACTGTTTTTAAAAAAAGCTGGATAATCGCCGCTGTTGACAGTGAAAAAATGTTGGTAATTCCCAGCAGCCTGGTCTTTTGTTACGAGTACGGTCTTTTGTTACAAGGCCCAGTTCCCTTTGTCTGATTTCGGACACCCCGGCTGTGCATATAAAGAATATGTGTCCGAAATCGAGCTCCCCAGCAGCATGTGGTTAACTTGTGAGTGACTAGATGGGATTTGTTAAGCAGTGCAGGAGAAAAACCACATTTTGATGATGAATATATTTTGGTGTCAAATATTTCAAATTTAGACTCTACTCTCTATGAATACAAACCAGTTGTAGATGATACCGCCTTCACTGCGATCAATATTCATGTTTCTACAGACCATCTTATTTACTGAGGATGAAGACATTCTAGAGTTAATCTCCAGACACGATGAGGCATACGCTGCTGAGGAGGATTGGTTCAGCTCAAGTCAAGATGAGGACACGACGCCGAGGCCCAAGACGGCCGACCAAGGAGAGGTTAGTGACCTGCCCCCATCAGCCATCTTTACTTTCCCCACCTCCCTCTTGCCTAATGCCTGGAAGGCTAGTAGAGCGCATCTTGTAGAATACCGCAGCCTAGTGGTTTTGCTGGTGGACGCACCCTAAGCATGACGATGGTACTTGTGTTCCTTTGGCAAGACACTTTACTACAACCGCCTCGTCCTGCTTAGAAGAGCAAATGGGTACCTGTGAGGGTGGAGATCAAAATTGTGCCAATTTCAACCTGCTGCAGTTGGTTTATCTCATGACCGAACAGGGGT